CCTGTCTCCTTCCCTCAGTAGATTTGATGTACCAATTATGACAGAATTCTATTGTCTACGTTTTCGCGTGTGATGAGTCTCTTGTGAAGCATGTCAGTAAAGTATTACACAAAGAACTTAGTTAAGCACCACCTGACATATCTCACGATTGAATGAGTCCCGATCTAAACCCTTTGGAGCACATCTGGGACATGATTGGGCGTCGTCTTTAACAAAGGGATCCTCCTGTACAGAACTTGGCCTAACTGGATGCTGCTTTACACGAGGAATGGCGTAGACTGCCCCTTCAGAGGATCAGGAGGTTGACATGATGGGGGTATGAGGGGGAGAGTGCTGACTGTCATACAGTCACAAGGAGGTTGCACTCGGTATTGACCTTGAATCGTGTAAGACACGCAAAATGACATTTTGAATGACTTGTTTACATTCACCAATAAATTCACCATTAAACATTCCAGGGCCATACACATAATCAGTGGTGTGTGTGTGTGTGTGTGTGTGTGTGTGTGTGTGTGTGTGTGTGTGTGTGTGTGTGTGTGTGTGTGTGTGTGTGTGTGTGTGTGTGTGTTTGTGTGTTTGTGTGTTTAAATGACAATTACCATCATAAAATCAACATGGATTACAATCATTTTGTCGTTTTTTCAAAGGATCATACGGGTCAGAAACACTCAATCGTGGGCACCACGAGAAGTTTTATGTACGTGTTGAAAACATATCATTGCAAATGTACAGGGGTGCTTAATTAAGTTCTTGTGTAAATTATATTTCGATATTCTGTTTACACAGAAGCCGACCCGTCACAGCATGTCGGATTAAGCTTGACATTTTATAGTGATTGAAGTAATAGAGAACGTCAACCCTGAAAATTCCCTTCCAAACATCTTTACATCTGTTGTTTGTTTATTGTTTAATGCCGAACGTAGCAATATCCCAGCTATATGGCACCGGTAAATAATCTGGACCAGACAAGCCAGGGAATTACACCATGAGCTTCGAACTGCGATGCGATGACATGCGTCAACCAGGTCAGCGAACCTGTCCATCCCGTTAGTCGCCTCTTACGACAAGCATAGGTTGCTCAGTTCTCATGCTTGCTCAGTTTTAACCCCGATCTTAGCGGGTCGTGTATATCTGTAATGAAATGACAACAATCCCGACATTTCACAAAAACTAGTCCAAAGCACCCAAATCACGATCTGGCCACAGCAAGTCCGTATGGCCTGGAATACCGATAAACAGCTGAAATGATCTCAACACGTTTTTCACGCTGTTTACGCTGTAGAATCAGCACATTGTGATCACAGTGCCGTATAGGTGCTGACCTATATCCAGGAACCACGTGGGTTGAAATGTCTGAAAAACTCCACCTTTTAAAACACACAGCAGTAATATTGGAGAGGGTTTAAATGTCGTAACGCTTTTGGGGTATTAACAAAAAGAAGACAGAAAAGACAATCTTTTTGAATTTGTAATGTTTCATCCCATCTACGGTGTTTATTCTTATATATAAGAGGAAACAGTATTGAAACTTGACAGCCATTGATTGACCTCTCCACAGATTGTTTACTTGAATATTTGCGACTTAATTTTCCTACTTGTATATTCATAGCCTTTGGCCCATTGTACTTGTAAGAAGACTGCAGCATTGTGTTTCCCATTTCGTCAAAGTATTTGCATGTAAGATGACAAATTATAATCTATATCCAGATTGTTAACAAATTAGCAAATTAAGACAACAGGCAAATGGTGACACATATATCGAGCTATAGCCAAGTACTTTATATATGAATCTATACAAACAAAGAATGATTCACGATGAAACACAACAAAATCCTATTGTCCAAGATAATCGTCAATTTTGCAGCCTAGTTTTCCTTTCCACGATAACAGAGTGTAAAATATCTCTGCAAATACACCAGTCATGCTATATGCCCACAACCACAATTATCCAAACGTACTCACAACAAGAGATTTTCTATCTAACAATACGATCGTGGCTATCTGGAGTGGGATAGAAACTGATAAGAAACGCAGCAATAAAATATAACACAAATAGTTTGACATGATTGAAACTAGGGAAAGCTTTACATCAGTCCGTTTGCTCCCAAAACACAGTCTGATTGGATATCATATGATTTGTCACACCTATGGATTTGGCTGTTTGTTCATCACGTCTTGAAATAAACAAAATGCAAGGTATGGTCACTTGTGTGAATAAGTTCATATGTGTGTTGTTGAAAGTTTATTTTTTTGTAGGATCACTGAATTGAGAAGCGTTAGAACAATTGTCCAACTGCATGTTGAAGTCTCCATTCTATTCAAATACCCTTTTTGATGAAACTTTGTTTTATCGATGTATGACATTGGTTGCCATAAGCTGTATGCTTTGAACCATTTTATTGAAGTATCCTTTTCGATGAAACTTAGTTTACTGATGTACTAAATTATCTGAATTTTTTTAATGAAACATATGTTAAATGACATATTATATGAGTTGCTGTACAACAAGAAAAGTGAAATAATAATAAAAACTGTTGGAATCTCGATCCAACAAGAAGTCGTCGATGAGTGTCATCTTTGACGCAACAAGTATGGTAAATTCCTGTTAAAACTTGTTGCTAGTCTCATGTTTCGAAAAACCTGGTGGCCAGATGTCAGGGTCAGTCCCACGATAGCATATTTACTGATTACCAAAGTCTTATCTATGCATTTATTGTCTAACAGAACGCGCGGTAGTTGCACGGCACAAAGCCGTATTTTGAATCATACGCACACATCTTTGACCTTTCAAAATGAGTTGAGGTTTTCCTACCTTCTTGAAAATGCAAATCTCTTGTTCTTTGATTTGCAATAACATTTGGAGGCAAGATATTCACACAGGACGGAGGCATCCCCAGGAGCACCAGTTGTGCTCTCCTTCTCCATGAGCAGTTTCTTTATGCATGTGAATCTGAATACAGAAGAAAGTGGTTTCCAAAATGCAAACGCTTGTTAACAAGGAGTTCTGTTTGTTAATAAAATACATGATATTAATACACAATAGGGGTTCGGTTCCCCAAAGGCATACCTTGTATGTGCAGTGGAGTGACGTTGGTATCCACCCCGTTCTTCTGTGTTTACATGCCACATTGCAATGTTGAAGCAGGGTGTATAGAGGAAATTTGATTAAATTGAAATAAAGGAATTCTCGGTGAAAATCCACGTCTGTATCTAATGACACGAAGGTCTTAAAAGGCATTTAAAAGTTGCACGAACATGAACGCATGCCATGTTTTATGGATAACGGCTTTTATTATATAGGTAGTATTTTTCCTGTACCACGATTGGTCAAAATACCGTCACATGATTGACTACAAAACATGATATTGACTTGAGTTTTCTGATAAATTACGATATTGACTTGGGTTACTAAAAATAGACAAGGAATCCCGTAAGAAGGGGCTTCCCCCGCTTTTCAGCCAATCAGATCACTCGGATAGATGGCACAATGTGTGCATTAAAAGTTTATGTTAAAACCCGTTTCTCTTTCATTATATAATAAAACAATTATAGACTCTTGTAGAGGTCGATATCGGTTTTTATTGACCTGAGAAAAACAATATCGACCTCGCAAGCTCGGTCGATATTGTTTTACTCAGGTCAATAAAAACTGATATCGACCTCTACAAGAGTCTATAATTGTATATTATCATTCAAAACTGTGTTCCACAGGAGATATCGCTTGTGTGAGATCAAACGATATCTCCTAGGAGATATCGTTTTGACAGTAGATTTTGTACAATGCCCTGACAATGCTATGACGTCATGTACTTGATGACGTCACAATGCTATGACATCGCTGCACTGCAAGTGTAATGGCAGTACCATGTTCAGAGATGTACATTTTTCATTGAGAATTAATGAAGAGTGATTTTGGATGATAAATAGAATCTCACCCTCGTGTCTTCTGATATCAAATATATCAACACTCGTCGATAAAGTAAAAATATCCTCGGCAAGCCTCGGATATTTGTAACTTTATCAACTCGTGTTGATATAATTGATATCAGAAGACACTTGGGTGAGATTCTCTATTTATTCTTTATGCGACGTTTCAGAGCTAATTCTTGCTCCTTTAGGAAGTGAATGCTGAGTCAATGAACAGGGTGAATATATGTAGACAGAACATGCTTACTCAGCGCATGGTGGGAGAATATACAAAGATATCAATATAATCACGATAGATATTAGATAGAAAATGTTACCTATCAAACATTACTTTGATTAGATATACAGTCATGAACCTGTGTTTTGGAATCACTCCCAAATAGTGTTTGCTATCGTGCCGCACCGGAGGCACCCGCTGCAAACCAGTAAAAGTTCCCTTGAATAACACACAGGAACACATACTACAGGTAAAAATTACATCAAACGTCACTTTTGTCAGTTACGCGTCAAATTTGAAAATGCCCTCCAATCTCAACTATAAACCTTTGGAAAGGTTTACTGAGTTTTGAATAGTTTACATTCAACACAGTTCTCTATTACGTTTTCACACTCTCAATTAAACTATGAACGCTACATGACCTAACACAGCACTGCCATGTCAGTTTTCCTACTCTTGATTTGTAATATGGAAAGCTTTAAAGCTCACATCTCCACTCTTCATTCTTATTCACGGGGATACAGTTTTGTAAGGCAACTGAGTGACATTGCCTTCAGTTTTATGATGTCTGAAAATATAGCCCTCAGAATGACTGAAATAATACCGATTTTGTAACCGTTTCTAACCCATTGTAAATGAGAAAACAAATTAACTTTGTATGTGTTGTTTATTCACTTGTAGGAACGTTTAATTTTAACCGTAAATATGACAAGACATTGCCCTATTGGGTTTCAGATCCAACCAAATAAATCAAAGCAATGTAACCTATGTGCTGCATGTATTATCTCAATGTCATGACGTAACCGCCCACAAGAAGATAAGTCTTGCATGCAGCTGCTGTACATAGAATCACAACATCGTGACTCTAGCTCACGGGATTGGTGTTGGTATCACGGGAAGGATAAGTATATAAGAGGATCAACCGAATGAAGACATTATTCTGAAAGCATTTCGTTCATCCAACAGACATGAAACTTACACTATTTCTCGTCATTGCTCTGTTCAGCTCTGTTATTGGTTTTGAGTAGAAGATAGTAACGACATTCATGATTTTAGATATTAGGTTTTAGTATTTAAATGATATAAAACAGCACCTATACATAATTTGTGTTGCAATGGCACTTTTCAAAGCTGGATATGTGAGAGACCGAAGTCTGAAACCCTCTGGAGTCAAACCTGCAAAATATGCTCATCCATCCACTTGCTACATTCAACAAAAGTGTGACCTGTGCCCTGTACATCGGGTAGCCCGAATTTTAATGAAATGGTATATATTTTTGTTATACAGCGGTGATATCCAGCCAGGGGTGCAGGGATGATAGTGACTGTACTCACGTGACATGTGACAGTTCCTCAAGGCTTGCCTGCTCTCATGGACAATGCACCTGTCTGGTTGCAGCCAATCCTGGTTCCTGCTTTTCAGGTATGCCAATTAACAAAATAACAGTCTTAATAACTACAATCGGCAATTTTCATTCGTCAGTATGTCAATTAACACACTGCCTTTCAAGTTGATAACGGTCTGTATAATTAACTAACGTCTATAACTGTATTCGGCAAAGTTCTTCCGTGAAGGTATTATTTAGGAAAGACACTGCAATAACAAACGTTGCCAAAGGTGCGACAACAAGTATACACGGTTATAGAGAGTGGTTTGGAACAGAGTGAGGCACCTAAGACGTGCACAAGATAAGCGATCTATTCACTCAGCCACCACGACTTCAACAAATGTGAAAGTCACAATTCCAAATCGCAAAAGTCCATTTTTGTGCAAGCTTGATACCGACGGTTTAGATAATTGTAGGGATTCATTGACCAAGCACACGACAGGAGCTATCTAATCACGTCACACCACTGAGAGCTGTATATGTACTGTGGTGACCAAGAGGGACGTTCATATTTCAGCCACATGTACCGCCCGCGCCGACTGCGACAGCTGTAATTGTAGAGACAGCCACGACGAACGTCACTGTTTTGACGGCCACTGTCTTTGTGGACATGGTCCAACTGGACCTGGTGGACCAGGCGTGTAAGTAACTAGTAGCGTGATCTATCTATCTATCTATCTATCTATCTGTCTGTCTGTCTGTCTGTCTATCTATCGGTCACCGTTTGTCTCTGAACTGGAACGATTAATTGCAAAATAATTAAAACATTATGAATACACAATGCCATTAAGAAAGTGGTCAATTGAAACACGTATTATGTTTGGTATTACATTTTCACCGTAAATTACAGATTCTAGTACCTTTATTGCCACAGCGGATGGGTTAGGCAGCTGACTTTGTGTGCTGGCGATTAGGTGCCTGACTGAGGGTGTGGGTTAGAATCCCGGATAGAACGCAACCCAACAGAAGTACTAGAATCTGTACTTAATTGAGAAAGTGTACTCCCAAATATAACATGTGTTAACTCACAATCCAAAGTAGTAAATGTGAATGAATACCTTATCTGATGTTTGTTATTGCATACCCATCACTGGAACCTACCTGTTTACTTTCAGAGGGAAATAAAGAAGAAACCCCATGGAAAGACTCGATATTATGTGGATCCATACATATATACATGTAAAATAAATCTGCTAAAACAGTTAACTCGTTTGTGTTGGTTTCCATGCTTCCAATTACGGAATATATTCCATGGGTATTCCGGGTTTGTAGCCAACCCTCAAACGATCCCGATACAATATATGGATCTGTATTTGCTAGTTTTACGTGACTATTGCTTTTCACTACACAGTCTAGCGACAGTCGTGACACTTGATGGAATAAAGAAATATGGTGGTTCGTAGACTTATTGAATTTTTGTCAAGGATGTGTAGAGCTGTGATAGAAGCCGACGGTGGTCAAGCCAGGGGTTGATCGGAACGTCCCCCTCATGAACGTTCGACAATCAGTATTACCATAATTTATGTCCAGAGAGCATGAGGTGTCGCGTAGGAAGTATCATCCTTGTGTTAAACAAATTAAATGTAAATGCATATACAACTGAACTGAAATCTTGACTGAAAAATGTACGCTACTGCAACACTGTTCAACAACATATGTTATTGTCGGGATTAAACTTTCCAGGGATTCAAACCCACACTCTAATCGCCAGCACACAAAGTCAGCCATCTAACCCACTCAGCCACCGTGGCGTACTAAAATCGTTACTTTACTGAGAAAGTGTAATCCCACATATAACAACTTGAAATTCACCACTTTCTAAATGACATTGGGTATTCATTCTTTTACAAGGAAAGATAGTGCCACACAACACGAGTTATATAATCATAATGTGACTAATGTTTATGATAAAAAACGGTATTATTCAAAACGCCAAAGCATGGATAGTTTGGGTTGCTTGGATATGCGTTCTTGTCTACCATTGAAGCTTTTAGTACAGAGGGAGGGTAATTTGTTTGCAGATCCTGGTGCAATAGGTATTTGTCTTCTACTGTGATCCATATTAATAGAGTGCGTGGTCAGTTGCAACAATTCTGGAACATATGTAACAACACATTTCTACACATGAGAAAATGGGATTAAATTAGGATAAATATGAAATCATCACTTAGAAATATTTTATGTCGCAATCAGGTATTAAGTAGTTATTAAAAATGATATTCTAACATGTAAAGAAACGTTGATAATCACTGTGAATATTGGATACATTTCTGTTAGCTAGATGTCAAATTTGAACATGTCTTTTTCAAGATATGAAAAAGAAAGTATGAAGGAAACACTTCATTTCTTGATCAACCAACTTGGGGATGAATGACTATGAATATTGTTCAGGGCTCTTTGCCCAAGCTGAAAACAAGAATCATCTGAGGTTTACAATGAAACATTATGTAAATGCTGAACGTCAGGGTACATGGGAATCCTTTTGAATGGAAAAAGGGTCTGAAAGTTGGCAACACCATGCAACCAAATGTGCACTCCTTATTAGGTATTTGTTTGGTATGAATTTCTGCAAAGTTGCTGCTTGGGAGTTCAAAATGAACATGCAGAAGTCTGTGAGAAAGAAGCTCTACAATAACTTTTGGCGTATCCATGAGGTAACATTGTCCAATAATGGTCCCAAACCAGTTTCCTTCCCGCTTGAAACAAATGTGACAGTGAAAAAGCTTCATAAGTATCACATTTTAATCAATGCATAGATGTATAAAATATTCTTTTTTATTGTTTCCGAGAACACTCTTATTTGACTGTTATATGACGCTGAATCTTTGTAACTAAAGACATAAAAAATCACACAATCCAGTAATTAACGACATCCTCAAAAGTCCGATGCAAGATCTTGTACCCAACGGTACTCTGTATTTCACAGTGCTTTTATAACGTTTACATTGAACGTGAGACTTAAATAAAAAACAAAACAAGTATAAACAAAAAGGAAAAGTCATTAATACCCCCCGCATAGGTAAAATAAATTCATGAATATGTCAGCTAGTTATCACCATGTCAAATGTTGCATTGTTCTTCATAAACACATACATATGTAAACTATTCGTAATTTATACTATCATGCGTGTACCAACAACAGACTACCTGGGTGCTTCCACGGTTTGAGTTACCTCAGTAATGTTGATACTGAAAATGGATTGCTACTGTTGATTTATGTCATTAGGTTGCTAAATACCCTCCAAGTGGAAGGAAAGTATTGAAAGGTTTTTAAGTTCTCCTCCGGAAAGGAGTACTACCACCAATTTCAGTCAAGTAAAATTTGTTGCCATGGAAATCCAAAACTACCTAAAGGCACCAGTTCACCACCAAGTTTATTGAAGAAACATTGACGTTTTTTTAAGTTCTGCTCCGGAAGAGAGCAATACCACCAATTTTCAGTCGAAGCCAACGTTGTTGCCATGGAAATAAAACGCACGGACACACAGACGGAGTTAAAAATATAAAAAGATTGCATAAAAGCTTGAATTTAACTTGACTGTGCATGTGTGATATCGGTTCCAATCTTGCCCTTGTGCATTCTGTATACTTGTTACTTACTTTGCTTGTCAGTAGAAAAAAGAACAACCATGTAAAATATTCTGCTGCTTTCAGTGAACAATGAAGAAGAACCATTGGTTATCGTGATTGATATGGTTTTACAGAACATGTTACATTTGTTGTGTATGTGATTGTTTGTTAACTTGTTTGAGTGGCATTTTAGAAGTTGAGCAAATATTGAAAAACTTCATGGATAACAATTTCTTTATTTCGCGAATGCGACGTCTCGATTCAGATTCTTGTACCGTTGTCAAGCAGGAATGTAATTGTTGCGTGGCTTGCTCATGCGGATATTAGATTTCCGTGGAAGAGTTGTTTTCGTTGGGTATTTATTGTAAATACGTCATCTTGAGGATGCTTCCTACTTGGGGATCCAATTCAGTTCTTTGTGCTGTTTGTAGATCTTCAAGAATAATATATATGCAATAACAACAGATGTGACTAGATTGCACTCCGAGAGGTCATCAGATAAATTACCCAATAGTGGAAGGTTACCTGCATACCACATGTGTCCTTTATCTACATGTCATGACACAACCGCCCACGGGAAGACAAATCTTGCATGCAGCTGCTGTGCATAGAATCACAACATCGTGACTGTGGATCTCGGGATTGGTGTTGGTATCACGGGCAAAAGAAGTATATAAGAGGATCAACCGTATGAAGACATTACTCTGAAAGTATTTCCTCAACCCTCAGACATGAAAGCTACACTGTTTCTCGTCATTGTCAGTGTCTCTGTTGGTGGGTAGAAGACAGTAACTGAGACCATATTTTAGTTAGTGAGATTTAATATTTAAAAGTAATATACAATGTTAGTGTATTTGTACTGCTCGTTTTCCGTGCTATATATCTGTGAGTGAGTGAACATTTTACGTCACCTCCACCTCTAGCGTTACCAATTGCCACGGTGGAGAAGAGAAAAGGTGGGTTAGGGCTGTATTTTCAAGATCGATGTTAGCTGCAGAAATAGCGGATTGTATTCTTATTCCAAGTGGTGAAATATAGTTATTTAAAAAGATGATGAAAAACACAGGTTATAGTCAGCATTTAATTCATTAGAACGTAATGTAGATATTTCCATCTTGATGATGGAGGAACACACATCAGCTGGAGTTATTGCTTGAAGAATGGTCGGACAATGATTCCTGCCACAAAGGTCGTTGTGGACTGACCACTGAAATTCAATCAACAGATCTGTGTGAGAGAGATAAATCTAGGCAAGGGCATGTACCTGTACCGGGATGTGAATATGTTTTCGAATTATCATTAAAGATACACAGATCGTTGTTAGAAATATAACCGTCTAGTGTCTTCCCATTTCTGATTGTATCAGAACTATCCCAAAGTGGATTACCCCAAAGTCGGATAGCAACAGCTTGACGACATGTATTTTTATAAGGGAATACTGCTACATGTATGTATAACATTCTGTCTCATCAAAATTGAAGATCCTCCAGTAGCTCTAGGTCCTGCAGGAAGAAAGAAGTTATATAATTCATTTTGTCTTCTGTAAATAAGATCTGTGTCTTTAAGATATGTTTGCTGCAAACAAAATGCCGTTGGCCTAAAATATTGTAACTTTAGTAACTTCAAATCATAGAAATTATTCTTCAGTCCTCTACAATTCCACTGAACAATGTTATTTGAACTGTTCATGGAAGCTCAATTGGAGAACGTGAGTTGGAGTGGGATATATTTCAGTCCATAGTTTGTACCAGTATATATCTTCAGATTGATTAGTATGGAAACACTCGTGTACTGTGCCTGTTATAATCCGTTTGTAAAAGTAAAACTCTCTTTTTGATAAAATGTGTTGGTGTATCAGCCAATGCACCTACCCTTTAAACATTCGAAACCATGGCAATGAGACCGGAAGTGGGGTATATAGTTTGAACTTGTACTTGCCAAACATGCTCATCCATCAACTTACTCGCTTCTACAAATGTTGCTGAAATGTCTGAGTCGTGACCTCCACAGAGGAGCACGTGTACCAGTTGTTAATGACATGTGGTTTCTTTCTTTACACCAGCTGTGATCTACAGCGAGTCCTGTAGGGATGATAGTGACTGTACTCACGTGACCTGTGACAGTTCCTCGAGACTTGCCTGCTCTCATGGACTATGCACCTGTCTGGTTGCAGCTAATGCTGGTTCCTGCTTTTCAGGTATGCCAATTAACAAAATAACAGTCTTAATAACTACAATCGGCAATTTTCATTCATCAGCGTATTATTCACGTAAGATTCGCCTATACCAGAAAGAGGCAAACAGAATGACCACAAGTATACACACTGCCTTTCAGCAAGTGATGAAATGTAATGTGATAATTACACTTTCTTAGTAAACTTCAAAATTTTAGTTTTTGTGTTGTGTCACACTTGAACCCACACATTCAGATTGAGGCCCTAAAGTAATCGACTTTCTCACTCAGCAACCGAGGCTTTAATAAAAATGAAAGTCAATATTCCAATTTGCTAAGTCCATTTTTGTGGAAACTTCGGTGGCTTGACATGAACTTAACGGTTTGCAGGGAATCACTGACCAAGCGTACGACAGAATCTATGTGTCATTTGTGGTGCTCAAATTAAGAGGGACGTTCATATTTCAGCCACATGTACCGCCCGCGCCGACTGCGACAGCTGTCAGTGTAGAGACAGCCATGCAGAACGTCATTGCTTCGACGGCCACTGTCTTTGTGGACATGGGTTTGGACCTGGCGTGTAAGTAAAGGGGAGTGTCCTTCCTTTTTGAGCAATGGCCATTAATAAATTGTTCACTGATTTCATTTGGTCGTGGTGGACACGGCAGATCAGGCATGAAAGTAACTGTGCTCAGCGTCATGATTGACGGGTCACTTAGACCAGTTGGAGAACATGTTTGTGCCTATCACACACTGATACTTTTACGACAGTATAAAAGTGAACAACGATTACGTTTTACGTTTCCTTGACATGATAAATACAATCAAAACAATTTCTTTCTGTGTATCACTTTAAATGCAAAACTCTTCATTAAAGGCACTATGCACACCACGCTTCTCTAGAAAATAAATAATGCATTTCTCTCAATAATACTATCAGCCCTCAGGGAAGCTACAATATAATTTATGTTTTGAAAAAAATACGTATTAGATTACAATATTAAATTAAAAAGTTCGAATGAATAATGCAACACCCTCTACCGGCCGAACATTATTTCAAGCGAACCCTAAAGAGTTATGTCCCCTTGGAGCGCTCTCTACGAATATCCTATAGCTCCTTTGGACACAGAAACCAGTTGGGCATACACAACAAAACCGCGTGCGACAGTTTTCGATGTACAGAGCAACTGTTTACATTCCCTATATGGCAAGTGTTATCTGTTTGGAAGGTATTCGCCTCGAAGTTTCACTTATCAGCAAGTCGTAAGGGATAATACATCTTTTATTGCATCAATAGGAAGCTAAAGTGAGTGCATATGCCCCATATGTATAATACAGGCCAAAATATAGTCGAAAATGTGTGACATAGTGTCTTTAAGCCTGTATTCACATTTTTACGTTCGCATCAGCTATGTCTTGGTGTTCCAAAGTAAATCTCAGCAAATGTAATTAGGTCTCGATTATCTGTCGAAACAGATTTCATTGGAGGGATAAAATATAATACAGGCACATGATATAAATAGGTAATTGACACCTGGTGTTTGCGGATAGGGTAGGATTGTCATTTTACAAAAGTTAATTGCTCCATATTACAGTTTTTACTGAATGCTCAATTTCTGGCAAAAGAAATTTCATATTGTCTCTCATCACTTACTTTTTACTTTCAGCGGAAAATAAAGGAGAGACTCTCTTGGAAAGAATTCATACCTTATACATGTGTAAAATAAATTTTTGATACAACTAAATGGTTTGTTTTGATGTTGGTTTACACGCTTCAGTCTGTGGGATATATCTTACACTTATTCCGGGTTTATAGCCTATCCTCATAAAAGCACGAGATAATATATGGATCTTGCTAGTTTTACATGACTATTGTATTCACTAAACAAACTAGCTACCCTTGGTGAAATTCATGAATGTGGTCCGTAAACTTTATCAGTCCGTGCCAAGGAGGTGTAGAGCTGTGATAACATGTACTGGTCGGAAGGCTCAGTACCATCCAGTTCCAAGCAGTCCCGTCCTTCCCCTCTATATCACCCCGCCCCTTCGCGTCGCAAGGTCATCCGTGTGTACACCTCTCTAAACCACCTGGACCTTGCATCCTATCCAGAGCAACCCTATCCTATCCCATCCAGTATTGTACTGTGTAGCATTTCGAGTCGGGGGTCATCTCATTTTTAAAAATATTTAATCCTCGCAAAGACACGAGGGCCTGTGATCCCATCCCGTCCTATTAAACGCCTTTCTATGCCACCCCGTACTATTCCACCCCATCATTAAACCCAAGTGAAAGTTATGTCCTGTTTATCAGCGCACACCCCCCGTTCTTGCACACCTGCCAAATCCCCTCGAGGTAATTGACGCTATTAATACTAGAGGGAGGTTCCGTTTAATTGTGACTTTGAATTGTGATACAAACACCATAATCTGTGTAAGGTCTCAGCATGGATGGCATGGGTTGCTTGGATCTACGTGTTTGCCCACCTGTCAATTCCTCACGAATTGAATTGACGCTGTTAGTAAGAGAGAGGGGAAAATGTGTTTGGAAGTCCTTGTGCAATATTTCGAGTCTACTATGATTCATACTAATGTGCAAACAGAGAATGTCGTCAACTGCGCAAATGTGAACCATATGTATATAATTATACATGTCTACACATGCCATAATAAGGGTTCAAATGGGCTAGATTACTTTAAATCTCACAGGGTGGAAGCGATTCCACACGAAATGCTCCCACTCGGACCATCAGCTGCTCGTCAAGCAGAGAAGTTGGCCAACAACCAGCCAGCTGTCACAAAGTTCCAGACCAGACACACACCCATCCTGGAGTTTGACAACAACGTGGCTCACTCTAATCGTGAGAGAGGTCTGATGTTTGACAACAGAATCTCAAACGGCCATAAGCGCGGTAAGACGTTCGTCCCCGAGAATGCCAGGTTTGGAAACCTGTCGCTGGACAGTAAAAGGACAACACGTGGCCCAAGAGTAATGGTAAGTTTTCCCTCGCATTTTCAATATTTCTCAAGTATATCAGGTTTTGCCATTTGGCAGACGGGTCTAGAAATTTACAGATGTGTCTGTAATAGCTTAACACCCTCTATATTTATTGCTTTTGCGCGTTAAGCGAGGGCAAACCCCCCCACCCCCCACCCCAGAGTGTCGAAACAAGATCGCGAAAAATGATCGTTTCAACACGAAATATGACATTCTCACCTGCAGATACGCCTTTTTTGGGCTGTTAATTCTTAGATATAGTTATTTTAGGTTTTCATTCACAGTTTAGACTTTAATGCATCAGTAAATTTTCAATTATCGTCGAAAAATGAAACTGTACATTTTACATGGAGTTTTACATTATTTTACTGTCCATGGAGTTGACAGTTTTTTAGTTTTAACCGTCATGTCATCAAACGTTATTCTAGAGGTATTTGCTGTGAAGAAGAATGTTTTGTTCAATGTTGTAGTTTGTGGGTAATATATGCATTAGTTTGATATGTTTATAGTTTCAGGAAATGAATTCTGAAGCTGAAGCAGTAGGCGAGTCTCGCATATCGTTCAACACCAGTCGTTTGGTCGTCATATGGCCTCAGACTGCATGTCAAGGGGATCCATTAAAACAACTACCGTTTCCATTGCCAAGTCTGTGGACAAAGATATCAGCAAAGTGGGATTTCGAAAGCCATATTAATAAGCACCACAATATCACACCATATAATTGTAAACAATGTGGTTGTTGATACAAATCTAAGAAGGATCTCCATAGGCCCACATGCTCAAAGCCGGATAAAGAAATGTCCACACTGTGGAATGAAGGTGGCCAAGTCCTACTGGCATGAACACGTGAAGACGACTCACCAGGGGGAGCAGTACAGATGCAAGATTTGTTACAAGACCTATAAATGGCGTTCATCACTTCGGTGGCATGCCCAGAATGCCCATAAGGACGATTGATTTCACGATCATACGTTTGTCATGTAACACATAAATCTTGGAACTGGAACTTGAAATGCAAAGCCAAAGTGTTTAATTTTCTCAGGAAGAGAGTTCCATGTTTGTTCTGTGATATCATTATTATTTTCATTTTAAAAGTTGTGTTATAATATCCCCATACTTATATTTGCCCTATAACAAATAAAACTTGGAACTTGACATGCAACTTCCTTTATTGTTTCCTATATTGATATACAGTCCATGTGGAAGATGGAGCACACAAGACATGTCAACGGAATCATGAAACATTCTGTTAGCTTTAAGTCATTCAAATCATGCATGTCCATGATATAAACGCATAAATCAGCCCATATGTACATTTATTTAATACAACCAATATATCCTGCGGGAATGATATGAATGTCAGTAATGGTCAATCATTAAGTTCCACTCCATGCTTCTTGTGAGGCAGTATTTTCGACTGGTCACATTTGTGATGTTGTCTGACAGGTTGGCAACCCGTAGCACACTACCTTGGCCCATGTATCGCTGCACTTTTCCGCTTAGGCTTCCGCTTGCAGCGTGTAGATGAATCAAAATGATGATCCCTGCAAAATGCATTATTTTGCTATCAACAAAGGATGTGGCAGTATTTATGTAACAAATTTATACAAATGATGACAGGCGAGAACATTTGCCTGTGATCTGATTGGGCGACCCTAAATAAGAACAGGTAAATCCTGTCATCTATAAGCACGTGGTTGTTGACTTATATCAATATGATGTTGGGAGGGGATAGTAGCTCATGGGGACTTACATAGCAAATTATTGCAGAACAAAGCGTATCTTATGTGTTGTCGAAGAATGTCTCGCACTTTTAGCATATTCACACACCAGCTATAAGTAAAGTGTGTAGATTATCTCTATAAATAGAAATTTAGAAACTGATACTTTTATAAGTAGGAATATCTTATGATTCAAAACTTGTGAGGCAATTTCACATCCAACGTTTCTATGTTGAAACACATGCCGTTTAATAGAACAGTGCTTGAAAACTGTGTTTGTATCGACATGGTAACGTCACATGTGTAAAATGCCTTACAAGTTGTCATAAAAATGTATTTCTACCATGTGTAGACTACACTGAAAATGAACACATTATACCTAATCGAAATATCCTCAATTATTGAGGGCTGAGTAAACGTCATATAACTCCATGGACAGTTAATGCTCTAAAATCCATGCAACTACATGGACAGTTACTTCAACGTAAACATTCAAAGCAATGGACAGTTTCAACATAACTCCATGTAAAATGTACAGTTTCATTTTTCGACGATAATTGCAAAATTACTGATGCATTAAATCCTTATCTGTGAATGGAGACCTAAAATAACTATATCTAAGAATAGACAGCCCCCAAAAGGCGTGTCTGCAGATGAGAATGTCATATTTCGTGTTGAAACGATCTTTTTCCGCGATCTTGTTTCAACACTCATGGGGGGCCTACGCTTAACGCGCAATTGCAATAAATATAGAGGGTGTCAATCTATTACAGACAGATCTGTAAATTTCTAGACCCGTCTGCCAAATGGCAAAACCTGATATACTTGGGAAATATTGAAAATGCGAGGGAAAACTTACCATTACTCTTGCGCCACGTGTTGTCCTTTTACTGTCCAGCGAGGAAATGTGGACAGTGCTTCCACCCTGTGAATCTGTACGAAACCGACTGAGGGAGCACAACATCAGGCCCCGGTGGCCTGCAATGCGCCCCATTGTGTTCCAACGTCACCGACAGGCACGTCTTGCCTGGTGCAGACAGCATCGATACAGGAGACAAGATTGGGATGATGTTTTGTTCACTGACGAGTCCAGATTTCATCTGTACAGCTCAGATGGCAGGGCAAGAGTGTCCACACGGCGCAGTGAACGGTATACTGTTCCGACATGGGACAACATTCCCAAAGCTTTCTTCAGTCACTTAGTGTCGTTGTCAAGGATACATCAACGCCAATGGTGGACACACACGATATTAAATTTGTGAACTGACATTTGAGACCACATCTTTTCAAGGGTGTGTCCCGATGCCTAGTGTCAAAACATACAGATTTCAATATTATCAAGTCAACAGTTACACAATGATTAAGGCAAGCACCACAAAATCATGTTATTATCCCTTTGCATTAAAAATGGCATAATTGATGTTATGCCATTTTTATGCAAAGGGATAATAACACCGTCACCTGTCACTATACACACGTCAGTCGGGAATGAACGATGTTCCGGCCCACTGACTTGATCAAATAACGTTTGAGCTATTATTAAGTTCAATGATGTTGCATTTAAAAGATCATTGTTATGATATTAACAAATGTTAATAAATTCTTCCATAAAAAAAATATTTTTGTTGTATTTTAAAGCGATTTTACGAGGTACTATATTCCATAATGTAGTTATGTTATTACCGCCGGAGAAGTTAGGTTTAATACGCGCATGAATACGAATCAGCTGTTTGAGGTCTCAAGTCCTGTCTCAGGGTGTTTTTTATTTCATGGTTCTTCTTTTTGAATTACATTATTGGTAATAAATAGAATAACCAACAAGGTACGAGTGATTACGGGAAATATGCCCTTGTTAAAATAATGTTCAGTGCCTCGCCAAGGCTCGGCACTGTGAACATTGTTTCAACTCGGACATATTTCCCGTAATCACTCGTACCTTGTTGGTTATTCTCTAAATAATGCACAGTTACTTTATTCCAGTAGAAAACTGGAAGGAAGTATCAACTTATTATCACTTGGAATGTTTTTTTATGTCGCAATCAGGTATTAAGTAGTTATATTCTAACATGTGAAAATTGGATACATTTCTGTTAGCTAGATAACAAATTTGAACATGTCTTTTTTCAAGATATTACAAAGGAAATATCAAGGAAACAATTCATTTCTTGATCAACTAAACTTGGAGGTGAATGACCATGAATGTTATTCAGGGCAATTTGCCCAAGATGAAAGCATGTATCATCTTAAGTAGTATAGGGAATGATGGTACGGGACCGCAAAGCAAAAATAATGAAAAAATAAGAAGGAAAAAAGCCAAGGGTGCACCTCCCCTCAACATTTGAGTATATAGGAACACATTTTGTTTGCATTGTTTTTTTCTTCGTGATCCAGTAGTCCATCCAACCCCAAGACAGGTATACGGAAAGCAAAATTTGAGTCCAGCGCAGAAAAACAACAACAGTGTGTCGATGGGGTTTGGACCACTCTCGTGTTGTTTCTCCATCGGCGAAGGTGCACTCGAATTATTATAAGAATCTCCTTTTCGCTAGGGCTACCCATTTTTTCAGCAACCACAAACCCCATATTCGACCCGATACCAAGACAGGTATGCAAAAAAACTGGCACCACACAGACTGTTTCCATAGCCGACAGCAAATAGTCTAGTCTTGCCCCAATTGTATAGTTTTCTAGACAAACCCTCCGACAGCTCGTCTAGTATTTTTGCAGATGCACAGTCGCGGGCTTGGGGTTGCAAAGGACGAATGGATTTGTAGACTTGTCGAGGCCCGTTTTCGCATTCCAACTGCTTTTCGTGGAATTCGTAGTACGGAAAGTAGGGCACGCGCCCGGACGAAAAAAACAAACTCAAGGTTCGTATACCTACAATACTTTTTTCCACACATCGACTTCTCTACTCCATATAGTGGGGATCCCCGGGTTTGGCCGTGGAAACTGGTATGAGCGTTTCTGTCTTCTCGTCGACTGGTATGTGGGCCTGTGTGCTGTGCTTCCAGTTCTTGTGGACGACCATTCAGAGAAACACTAGTGAAAGGGTGGTCCACCTTTGGGCCGATTCTACCATCTGCCACACCTTCTCGATATCCAGACGGGTCTCTTCTTGTTCCTCCTCGACGCTTTCTATTTTCTCCCGTAGTTCTTCGTCATCGTCGTCCTTGTCCTGCCTACACAAGACGTCCACCAACAAATTCATGGTTTGCTCCGCACGAACTGACAACATCGTCGCGGTTTGCTCCACACGAGCCGACAACATCATCGCGTTTTGCTCCACGCGAGCCTCGAGCCTCCCCAAGCGGTCGTAGAAGTCCTGGACGGTGGGCGCAGTCGACGGATCTGCAGCAGGCAACGAGGTTGTGCTGGAGGTAGAAGTCGGATTTGGAGCTGTCTCGCTAGCGGGCAAGAGGGTGTTGGTAGACGGTTCTGCGGTTGGCAATATGGATGTGCTGGAGTTCGGATTTGTAGCGGGGGAGGAAGAAATGTGCTTTGTAGCTGTCTGCATATCTTCTTCTGTATTCCATATTTTGCGTAGTCGATTGGAACCGATTCCAAATCGTTGTTTCTTGTGCAGAGATTTTTCCACGCATCTTGCGAATCTCCTCCACTTGGTCTTGCGATAGTTGTCCTTTCGGAGGCATTGTGTTGTACTATATATCTGCATTCGCACAATTGTTTATATGGAAAACAAGGCGTTGGATTCCTATTCCACAGAACTAGTTTCTACCTAGTTTGCCTAGGTTCTGCCTAGTTCGCACCTAGTTTGTACCAAGTTTGCACCTAGTTTGTACCTAATTTGCCTAGTGTGCCTAGTCCGCCTAGGTTCTGACTAGTTTTCCATATAGACAACTGTGCGAATGCAGAGATATAGTACAAACAAAATGCCTCTGAAAAGACAACTATCTCAAGACCAAGTGGAGGAGATTCGCAAGATGCGTGGAAAAATCGTTATACCGGCAATTTTTCCTCAGACATACTTTAACGTGAGACGTTAATAAAAAAAGAACAAGTACAAAAAGGCTGCATAAAAGCCTGAAATTAACTTGACTGTGCATGTGATATGGGTATTACACTTGTCCTTGTGCATTCTGTTTATGCGTCAGCTATTTTGCATGTGAGTGGAAAAAAGAGCAATCACCTCAATGGTAATTTTGAACTGTTTGAAGCATGGGTATCGGATCATAGTATGGAGTACCAGACGACAAGAAAAACAAATTTAGAATTATCTCCCTTCCATCGATTTGCATTCGCAAAACACCGGCAATTTACGTACATCATACGTGATTCAAAGTTATTCGAGATAAAGAAATTACTACTACGAAATGTTAGTCGCTTGTAAAGCGGGGTACATTGAACATAATAGAAGGGCGCTCAACAAATCAGCAAACGACATTTATGTGTGAGATTTGATGGAGTTCCGAGGCACCAAAGACTTTGTAATATTTGTAATGATATTTTTGTAGAAAATGAATTTCATTTCCTATTTAAACGTAAAGTTTATCATGACGTGCGCTGTATTTTAAAGCATTACCATATTACAATGATCAGCAATATGTTTTGAACACATTATAATGTAGCAATTTTTCAACAGCAACAAATTGTTCTAATTATGTTAAGGAAGCATTGCCATTGCGTTATTTATACATATGAATCTGATTGTCAATTGCATCTATCTTATAATAACACAAGTTTTTAATTTTTTTAATTGTACGTGAGCCTTTTTACGAAATAATCCGAGCTAATTCTTGCTTCTTCACGAGGTGAATGCTCAGTCAATGCACAGAGTGAATATATGTAGATAGAACATACTTACACAACGCATGGTAGGAGAATGTACAAAGATAACAATATTATCACGAAGCCAATAAGAAAATCTTACCCGTCAAACATTACAGTGATTAGGTATACAGTCATGAGCCTGTATTTATGAATCACTGTCAAATAGTGTTCGCTATCATGTCGCACCGGAGGCACCCGTTGCAAAACAGTAATTGTTCACACATACTACAGGTAAAAACAATTACAAAGAAATTACATCAAATTTCAGTTTTGTCAGATAGGCGTCAAATTTGGAAATACCCTCCAATCTCAAGCAGAAAGGTTCACTGAGGTTTTGAATATTCAGTTTGTATACTCAACACAGTTCTCTATTCCTTTTTTCTCGCCACTCAACATGGGCGGATCCAGGTATTTTTGTTATACAGCGGTGATATCCAGCGAGGGGTGCAGGGATGATAGTGACTGTACTCACGTGACATGTGACAGTTCCTCAAAGCTGGCCTGCTCTCATGGACAATGCACCTGTCTGGTTGCAGCCAATGCTGGTACCTGCTTTTCAGGTATGTCAATTAACAAAATAACGGTCTGTATAACTGAACTCGGCAAAGTTCTTCCGTGAAGGTATTATTTAGGAAAGACACTGCAATAAGAAACTTTGCCAAAGGTGTGACAGCAAGTATACACGATTTTAGAGAGTGGTTTGGAAGAGAGTGAGGCACCTAAGACGTGCACAAGATAAGCGACCTATTCACTCAGCCACCACGACTTCAACAAATGTTGAAGTCACAATTCCAAATCGCAAAAGTCCATTTTTTGTGCAAGCTTGATACCGACGGTTTAGATAATTGTAGGAATTCATTGACCAAGCACACGACAGGAGCTATCTAATCACATCACACCACTGAGAGCTGTATATGTACTGTGGTGACCAAGAGGGACGTTCATATTTCAGCCACATGTACCGCCCGCGCCGACTGCGACAGCTGTAATTGTAGAGACAGCCATCAAGAACGTCATTGCTTTGACGGCCACTGTCTTTGTGGACATGGTCCATCGGGACCTGGTGGACCAGGGGTGTAAGTATAGCGTCATTATGGACGGGTCATTTGTGGATGAAAGTATCTATCTATCTATCTATCTATCTACTATCTATCTATCTATCTATCTATCTATCTATCTATCTATAAGTCATCTATAGACCGTTTGACTCCAAACGGGAACGATTAATTGCAAAATAACTAAGCATTTATGAATACACAATGCCATTTAGAAAGTGGTCAATTGAAACACATGTTTGGGATTACATTTTCCCAGTAAAATACAGATTCTAGTACCTTTATTGCCACCGCGGGTGGGTTAGGCGGCTGACTTTGTGTGCTGGCGATTAGGTGCCTGACTGAGGGTGTGGGTTCGAATCCCGGATGGAACGCAACCCAACAAAAGTACTAGAATCTGTACTTAATTGTGAAAGTGTACTCCCAAATACTTACAATCTTAAGTAGTAAATGTCAATGAATACCTTATGTGATGTTTGTTATGGTTATGCCCCTCACAGGAACTTGCCTGTTCACTTTCAGAGGGAAATAAATGAGAAACCCCATGGAAAGACTCCATATCACGTGGATCCATACATGTATACATGTAAAATAAATCTGCAAATACAGTTAACTCGTTTGTGTTGGTTTCCATGCTTCCAATTATAGAATATATCCCATGGGTATTCCGGGTTTGTAGCCAACCCTCCAACGATCCCGATACAATATATGGATTTGTACTTGCTAGTTTTACGGGACTATAGCATTTCACTACACAATCTGGCTACAGCAGCGACCTCTGAGGGAATAAATGAGTATGATGGCCCGTAGACATACTGAGTTTGTGTCAAGGTGTAGAGCTGTGATAGCAGTGGTCAAGCCAGGGCTTGATCGGAACGTCCCCCTCATGAACGTTCGACAATCAGTATTACCATAATTTATGTCCAGAGAGCATGATGTGTCGCGTAGGAAGTATCATCCTTGTGTTAAACAAATTAAATGAAAATGCACATTCAACTGAATATAGTAAATTGTTTCAAAGTGTGCTGATGCGTTTCCTTTCTAATTAAAGATGAAGAACCTTTCAGATTACACAACTGCCATCTACTGAAACCCATACTCTCAGCGTCAGGCACCTAATTGCCAGCACACAAAGTCAGCCATCTAACCCACTGAGCCATCGCTGTCTCCTAGAATGGGTACTTTACTGAGAAAGTGTAATCCCAAATTTAACATATGTATCAACACATTTCGACTTAAAATAGGATTGAAATAGGATCAAAATGAAATTATCAGTTAGAAATATTTTTATGTCGCAATCAGGTATTAAGTAGGTATCAAAACATATATTCTAACATGTAAAATACGATGATAATCCCTTTGAAAATGGGATACATTTCTGTTAGCTAGATGACAACTTTAAACATGTCTTTTTCACGCACCAAATATATAGAGGTTTACAAAGGAAAGACTTCATTTCTTGATCAACCAAACGTGGTGATGAATGACCATGACTATAGTTCAGGGCAATTTGCCCAAGCTGAAAGCAAATATCAATGAAAACATTAAGTGAATGCTGAATTTCAGGGTAAATTGAAACCTTTTGGATAAAAAGTTGGGTCAGGAAGTTGGCAACACCATGGCAACCAAATGTGCACTTCTTACTGGGTACTAGTAATTGTTTGGTATGAATTTCTGCAACATTGCTGCTTGAAAATACGGGAGTCTGTTTATGACGGGTGCCACCGGTGGGACAGGGTACGCTCCCCTTTTCGCAAACATCTGGTATCATCATTATTTCATAGTGATTCATAAATACATGCACTGTCATCGTATCGCATGGTGACAATCACTGAATACAAACAACATCATACAGCTGTAATACTGCTGAAACAAGCATATGCTCATGATATGGTCGCAATTGTACAATCGACTCTGCTTTTAGCAGAGATATCTTATGAATATGGAAAAAGGTTGTGCCGCCTCTGTTTACATTATCTTCTGGTGTATCAATGATGTGACATTGTCCAATAATGGGTCCCAAACCAATTCCCTTCCACTGATTAACTCACTTGAAATACATGCGACCAGTGAAACAGCTTCATAAGTATCATCTTTAGATCAATGCACAGAGGTACAAAATAGTCTTTTTATTGTGTCCCAGAACACTTTTGATATGCCTGTTATATGACGCGGAATCTTTGTAACTAAAGACATAAAAGATCAGATAATCCGGTAATTAACGACATAATCAAATGCCCGACGCAATACCCTGTACTGAAATGTACTGTATTTCACAGTGATTTTGTAACGTTTAAATTTCATGTGAGACGTAAAAAAAAATGATTCACGAAAGCCTGAAATGTGTGATCTCGGGTTCAACCTTGGAGTGTGTACTTGTCATTTATTTTACATGTCAATGATAAGAAGAGCAATCATCTAAATTATTATATTCTGCTGCTTTCAGTGAACTATGAAGAAGAACCATACAATAAAATGTTTCATTATTCTCTCATTGGTTATCGTGATCGATATGGTTTTACAGAAACATGTTGCGTTTGGTGTGTATGTAATTATTGCGTGGATTGATCATACGGATTCTATTTCCGTAGAAGAGTCAACGTTGTTTTAGTGGTGTATTTATTGTCATCTTGAGGATGCTTCCTAACTGGAGATCCAATTCAATTCTTTGTGCTGTTTCTAGATCTTCAAGAATAATATTTATGCAATAACAATACACATGGCTAGATTGCACTCCGAGAGGTCAATAGTGGAAGGTTACCTGCATACCGCATGTGTCCTTTATCTACATGTCATAACACAACCGCCCACGGGAAGACAAGTCTTGCATGCAGCTGCTGTGCATAGAATCACAACATCGTGGCTGTGGCTCTCGGGATTGGTGTTGGTATCACGGGCAAAAGAGGTATATAAGAGGATCAACCGAATGAAGACATTACTCTGAAAGCATTTGCTCAACTCTCAGACATGAAAGTTACACTGTTTCTCGTCATTGTCAGCGCCTCTGTTGGTGAGTAGAAGACAGTAACCACGTTCATATCTTAGTTTGTGACATTTAATATTTAAACATAATATACAACATTAATGCATTTGTACTGCTCGTTTTCCGTGCTTTATATCTGTGAGTGAATGAACCTCACCCTAACGGGAACCCAGTCCCGTACCCACCTCACCCTAACGGAAACCCAGTCCCATACCCACCTCACTTGCCCACTGACAAACCACATGTTCTTCATGGGCTGTAGTGTGAGATACGAGCGTAGCCCAATAAACCCACTTGAGTTAAACCTCATGCATCCACTCCATTGAACAAACGTGGGGGCGATGGGTTATTCCAGTGGTTAAAGCGTTCGCTCGTCACGCTGAGACATGGGTTCGATTCCCCACACGAGTACAATATGTGAAGCCCATTTCTGGTGTCCCTGCCATGATTTGCTGGAATATTGCTAAAAGCGCCGTAAAACTAGACTGACTCTCTCAACAAACGTTGTTTGAAAGAGTAAGCCGTGAGCGCTACAGAGATCACGCAGCCCTGAAGTTAATGTAAATGATAGGATGTTGTTCCTTTCTTTGTATCAGCTGTGATCTACAGCGAGCAATGTACAGATGATGGTGACTGTAATCACCTGACATGTGACAGTTCCTCAAAGCTTGCCTGCTCACATGGACAATGCACCTGTCTGGTTGCAGCCAATGTTGGTTCCTGCCTTTCAAGTATGTGAGTCAACAACATAAATTTACTACAGTCGTCAAATTTCATCTGTGAATGTATTATTAAGGAAAGATTCGCCTATACCAAAAAGAGGAAAAAAGAGAACTAACCACAAGTAAACACAATTCTTTTCAGAAAGTGATCAAATGTAACGTGATACATATGGAATTACACTTTCTGAATAAAGTACACAATTCTGATACCTTTTCGCTGTTGAGTCACATCCGAGATTCAAACCCTCACACTCAGATTGAAGCACCAAAGAAGACAAAGTAAACGATCTTACTTAACCCGTGAAGATCCGGGTTAGAAATAATCTTCAGTAACCCATGCTTGTCGTAAGAGGCGACTAACGGGATCGGGTGGTCAGGCTCGCTGACTTGGTTGACACATCGGTTCCCAATTGCGCAGATCGATGCTCATGTTGTTGATCACTGGATTGTCTGGTCCAGACTCGATTATCTACAGACCGCCGCCATATAGGTGGGATATTGCTGAGTGCGGCGGAAGTCACTACTCCAAGTCCCCAAAGTGCAAACATGAGTGGCTTGATATGATACTGGCGGTTTGGATAATTGTAGGGCTTCATTGGCTCAGCATACGACGGAATCTTCACGAATCACACCACTGAGAGCTGTATATGTACTATGGTGACCAAGAGGGACGTTCATATTTCAGCCGCTTGTACCGCCCGCTTTGACTGCGGCAGCTGTCAGTGTAGAGACAGCCATTCAGAACGCCACTGCTTTGACGCCCACTGTCTTTGTGGACGTGGTTTTGGACTTGGCGTGTAAGTAAAGGGGTGGGGTGGGGTGTGTGGGGTGGGGTGGGGTGTGTGTGTGTGTGTGTGTGTGTTAAATGGCCATTAAATTGTTCATTGACTTCGTCTGGTCGTGATGAACAGGCCAGACCAGGCATGAAAGTAACTATTCTCAGCATCATGATTGACCATTTGGAGAACATGTTTGTGCCCATCACACAATGATGCTCTTACGAAAGTGGAAAAGTGAACAATGATTATGTTTTACGTTTCTTTTACATAAGAAATACAACCAAAATTAAGGCTGCCTGTGTATCACGTTAAACTAGACTATCAATTTGTTTGCTTCGTATGCTTCTTTTATTTCATCTTGGTGACAAAAAGATACAAAACTCTTCATTTATACTGTATTTACATTTAACATTCACATCAGCTGAAGCTAGTTTCGAAGTAAGTCCCAGCAAGAGTAATTAGGTCTCGATTATCTGCTAAAACAGATTTCATTGTAGGGACACAATATGGAGGCACACCTGGTGGTTGCGCACAGGGTAGACGTGTCATTATACAAACGTTAATATCCATATTACTGTCCGTACTCAATGTGTAATTTCTGGTAAAAGAAGATTGAAAACGTCACTCATCACTTACATCTTTACTTTCAGAGGGAAATAAAGGAGAAATCATGGAAATCACGATGTATACATACATGTACATGTGTATAATAAATCGAATACAATTCACTGGTTTGTTTTGATACTGGTTTCCATGCTTCAGCTTATGGAAATATTTCGAAGCATGCTTACACCCATGGGATATGACATGGGATATGCCATGGGCATTCCGGGTTTATAGCACATCCTCATCGGATCACGATACGATATATGGATCTTGATTTGCTAGTTTGACGTGCATTTCATTACACATACTAGCGACCCTCGTGACCCTTGGTGAAATTAATGGATGTGGCGGAACGTACACTTCATCAGTTCGTGCCAAGGAGGTGTAGAGCTCTGATAACAGGTACTGGTCGGAACATGGTGTCCAATGGTGCAACAGGGTACAGGCATGGAACCTGGGAAACTGGCGACGCGTTTGGTTCTTTAAGCATATAAATGTGAATACAGAAGAAAGTAGCCTCTTATGAATTATCCAAATGCAAGCTATTGTTAACAATTAGTTCTGTTTCTTTTTATAATACATGATATAAATAGCATTAAATACACAATAGGGTACGGTTCCACAAAGGCATAAAGGCATACTTATATGTGAGGTGGAGTGACGTTGGTTTTCACCCCGTTCTTCAGTGTTTACATGCCACATTGTAGTGTTGAAGCAGAGTGTATGGAGGAAATTGGAGTGTATACAGTAAATTGAAATTCTCGGTGATAATCCACGGTCTGAATCAACAATTATTAAAGGAGGAGAAAGACATCTGCATTTACTCTTGGTGATAGGGGCGTATTTACTGATCCAGGGTTTATGGAATTGTTTTAGCTTCTGTTGGCAGATGATTTATATGTCTGCTTGCAGATTCTGTCATCAGCCTTCAGAGAAAGATCAATGTATCATTAGAGTTTTTGTATGTCTGGAAATTTTGAGAAAACAGAGGTGTTAGTCTTTAGAAATGGTGGTAAATTAAGGCGATATGGATCATGGTACTTTGGTGATCATAGGTTAAACGTTTCAACATACATGTATTATAATTATTTGGGTTCACTGTTTTCAAATCGACGTTCATGGTCTAAATCGGTTCAAAATCTGAAATCTGGAAAGTAAAGTGAATAACGCCTTGTCTTCAGGAAATATGGGGTTTTCAGAAATGGCATGTTATTGAACAGTTTCACGTTAGGTTTTGTAAGTATGTGTTCGATGTAAGTTATAAATGCTCTAACGCTGCTTTTTTTCGGAATGTTGTAGAAAGTATATTTATGTTGATAAATGTTTATTACGTGTTTTGAAGTATTGGTTCAAACTTTTACACATACCAAAGGAAAGAAACCCTAAGCGGTGCTATATTATGTTACACCATTTATACAAAGTTAGTAGGAAAACGTGGGCATATTTTGTCAGAAATTCTTTGTTCAATTATGGTTTTGTTTTTGTGTGGGAAGCTCAAGGCGGCAACGAGGAACAGTTTTTGAAAGATTTCCATGAAAGAGTTAGTGATTGTCAAAAGCAATTCATATTTTCAGAAGGGCAAAAATGTTCATCGCTTTATGTTCAGTCAAGTATCAAAAATGTATTTTGCATTGAATCATATTTAACTTTATTGAAATGTAAAGATGCGAGGCGTTGAATAACAATGTTAAAAATCGGTGCGTTTCCAATATCTATAAATACCGGTAGATTTGATGGAGTTCCAAGGCACCAAAGACTTTGTAATATTTGTAATGATAACTTTGAAGAAAATGAATTTCATTTCCTATTTGAATGTAAGGTTTATCATGATTTGCGCTGTACTTTAAAGCATTACCATATTACATTGATCAGCAATATGTTTTGAACACATTATCATGTAGCAAGTTTTCAACAGCAACAAATTGTTCTAATTACATTAATGAAGCATTGCCACTGCGTTCTTTATGCGTATGAATCTGATTGTCAATTGCATCTACCTTACAAGGTTTTTAATTGTACGTGGGCCTTTTTACGATATAATTGGAACTAATTCTTGCTCCTTCACGAGGTGAATGCTCAGTCAATGCACAGAGTGAATATATGTAGATAGAACATACGCATGGTGGGAGAATGTACAAAGATAACAATATTATCACGAAGTCAATAAGAAAATCTTACCCGTCAAACATTACAGTGATTAGATATACAGTCATGAGCCTGTATTTTTGAATCACTGTCAAATAGTGTTCGCTATCATGTCGCACCGGAGGCACCCGTTGCAAAACAGTAATTGTTCCCCTGAATAACCCACACGAACACATATTACAGGTAAAAACAATTACAAAGAAATTACATCAAATTTCAGTTTTGTGAGATAGGCGTCAAATTTCGAAATACCCTCCAATCTCAAGCAGAAAGGTTTACTGAGGTTTTGAACATTCAAGTTGTATACTCAACACAGTTTTCTGTTCCTTTCATTCACCACGCAACACTGTACAGTCGTATCAGGTTTTTCAGCTCATGATTTGAAAGATGGACAGCTTTAAAACTCACGTTTCCTCTCTTCATCCATATTTACGAAAAACGCAGTGTTGTAACGCAACTTTGTGGCATTGCCTTCAGCTTTATGGCGTCTGAAGTATAGCCCTGGGTATGACTTAAATAATGCTGATTTTGTAACCGTTTCTAACCCATTGTAAATGAGAAAACAAATCAATCTTGAATGTGTTGTTTATGTATTTGTGGAAACGTTTAATTTTAACAGCAAACATGACAAGACATTTCCCTATTGGGTTATCAGATCCAACCAAATGAATCAAAGCAATGTAACCTTGGCACTCCATGTCTTAGTTATCTACATGTTATGATGTGACCACCCACAGGGAGATAATTATAAGTCTTGCATGCAGCTGCTGTACATGGAATCACAAAATCGTGACTCTGGCTCACGGGATTGGTGTTAGCATCACGGGAAGCAAAAGTATATAAGAGGATCAACAGAATGAAGGCATTACTCTGAAAGCATTTCGCTCAACCCACAGAAAATGAAAGTTACACTGTTTATCGTCATTGTCAGCGCCGTTATTGGTGAGTAGAAGATAGTAACGACATTCATATCTTAGGTAGTTGTGTTTTAGTGAGTGAGTGAGTTAATATTTAACGTCACATCGGCAATATCTCAGCCATATCGTGACGAAAACAATTTATACAATAAAAAGTGAAAATATTTTGAAGATTAAAACCTGTCGACGATGGACTGTAAAAATACTAGATAATCACAGATGAATTATAAAACTAGCGAACAAAGCTAAAACATTCCAATTAAAGAAGACAATACAATATAAAATACGGGCTATATATTGCCAACAACTGAAGGTAGATCACCAAACTAGGAACCATGGGGACTTACATTACTTTTGCTACCTGCATGGACCCTAGTTGGATTTACACCATCCCTTCAGCCGCTGGCAATAGTAGGGATGTTTATCCGAAATTTAAATTCACAAAAATACTACGATTAAAAAGTATGGTTCAGCAAAATTGACTTGGAAAGTTTTTGGGACTTATGTACCCTCTCAGGAGGACAATAATTTTACGCTACTTCAACCCCCTTTGAGGGTACAGCCACTAACAATCTCAGTTACTAATTTAAACTACCAATAATAAAATATATATCTATTTACAAATCAGTTAACAAATCTAATTCGTTTAAACATGCAATAATTAAATGAGAACTAAAAAGATCCTTCATAGTTCGTGATTTGAAATAGATATCCCTTGTGATGGAATATTCAGGACATGCTTGACCGTGATTCTTTCATCACAAGGGATACAAAATGGAGGATCCTCACCTTTCAATAGGTATTCATGAGTATATCTCGTGTGGCCAATACGACATCGTCGCATGATGACCTCTTCAAATCTGGACTGACAACCCAAGTAGGTGTAACCAATATAGGGTTTTATTGCATGTAATTTGTTAATGCCTACTTGGGTGTCCCACTTCTGCATCAGATCACGGATGTAAGTTCTAATGCTAGCTTTGTAATCAGAGTATGGAATAAGAAGTGGTGTCACAGATTTGTTGAGTGCTGCCTTGGCAGCAAGATCGGCCATTGTGTTCCCAGAAATGCCAACGTGACTGGGTAACCAACAAAAGACGATGTCATATTGGCCAGTAGCAAGATCGTTATATAATTCAATAATTTCTATTAAAAGTGGATGTTTACAAGAAAGTTTTTTAAAAGCATGAAGGCACGAAAGAGAATCGGAAAAGATGATATATTGTTTATGTTTAGGATGTCTTTGAATGTATTTAAGAGTCGTTAATATGGCGTTTGCTTCTGCTGTAAAAATAGAGCTGTTATCTGGTATTCTAGAAGATATTGTTCTGGATCCAATGACAGTGGCACATGCCACCGCGCCACCGTCCTTGGACCCATCTGTTAATAAAGATTTGTATGTATTATATTTCAGTTTTAATTGATTATATTCTTGTTTACATAATTGTAATTCATTTGTTTCTGATTTCTTAAACTTTGTCAGAGTTAGGTCAACTTCAGGCCTCACCAGCTGCCAAGGAGGAGAAGAAAGAAGACGAGAAGGAGATATATTTTCCAGCTCAATGCCGGCAGCAGAAATGAATGGCTTAATTCTCAAACCAAGAGGCTGAACAAGAGAAGGCTTTTTATTGTAAAGATCCCCATAAAGAGGAATAAGAACACAGTTAAATGCAGGATTTGACTCATTAGAATATAGTTTTGTTAAATACTGCAAGGATAATTTTATACGGCGTTGTGTAAGAGATGGCTCATCGGCCTCGACATAGAGACTGTCAACAGGAGATGTTCTGAATGACCCAAGACAAAGTTTCAGACCTTGGTGGTGAACAGAATCTCATAGTTTTAAGTTGCTTTTGCAATGGAGCCATAATCAAGTTTGGAACGGACCAGTGATCGATATAAATGGAGGAGGGTAGTTTGATCCCCTCCCCATTTAGAATTTGAAACGACTTTCAACAAGTCAAGGGCCTTCAGGCATTTAGTTTGAAGGGATTTAATATGTGGCAGAAACGTTAAGTGTGAGTCAAAAATTAAACCCAAGAACCTTAACAACTTTGATGGGAGTGGCATCTAGTGATAGTTCAGGGTCTTTATGTGGTTTCCTACAGAAATGTATACAATTAGTTTTGGATTTAGAAAATGTAAAGCCGTTTTCAAGACACCATTTATTTATCTTGTTTAAACACAACTGCAGTTGCCGTTCAATAGTATGCATATTTTTACCACGACAAGAAATGTTAAAATCATCCACAAATAACGATCCATCTATTGAATCGTTTAAAACTTTTGACAAACTATTTATCTTTATACTAAATAGTGTGACAGACAAAATACTGCCTTGTGGAACACCCTGATCCTGATTGTAATGATCAGACAGGGTTGACTGGCTGAGTATGGTTTTTACGCCGGTTTTTAGCAATATTCCAGCAATTTCACGGCGGGGGACACCAGAAATGGGCTTCACAAGTTGTACCCATGTGGGGAATCGAACCCGGGCCTTCGGCGTGACGAGCGAACGCTTTAACCACTGGGCTACCCTACCGCCCCCAGACAGGGTTGAAGCCACGCGGACTTGAAATTGTCTGTCATTTAAAAATTTGGCTATAAATTGAGGCAAACGGCCTCGCAATCCGAAACCATGTAAATCTCTTAAACTGCCATATTTCCACATAGTGTCATATGCTTTTTCAAGATGAAAAAAGATAGACACAGCGTGTTGTTTATTGATTAGAGCGTTTTTAACAAATGGTCACTTCCACATAGGTCGTCGTGGACTGACCATTCAATTTCATTCAATAGGTCTGAGTCTGTAATTGATAAATCAAGAGCTGAATAAGTTCCTGTGCCAGGATGTAAATATGTGTTAGAACCGTCATTATATAAGCATAAATCATTATCAGAACAGAACTCTTCTAATAGTTTACCTTTAGCATTAGTAGATGTACCACCCCAGAGTGGGTTGTGGCCATTTAAATCTCCCATAATAATACAAGGTTTCGGGAGTTGGTCATATAAATTTTTAAGTTCAGTCTTCTGAAGAGTTGAAGACGGTGAGATGTACAAAGAGCATAATGTGAACGCAGCATGTAACGTTAGTAGCACGGCAACCGCCTGGAGACCAGTATTAAGTATAACAGGGCTATGGATAATATTCTGTTTGAAAAGGATCGAAGATCCTCCAGTGGCCCGATCACCAGGAGGTGAAAAAGAATGGTATGCATTGAAATGGCGTAGGTCAAATGTATCCGTCTGTTTTAAATATGTCTCCTGAAGACAAATGGCTGATGGTGTGAAGTCCTGGACTAATAGCTGCAAATCACTGAACTTATTCCTTAGCCCTCTGCAGTTCCACTGTACAAGATTATTAGAAGACATTATCTTTTGGGGGGATTTATTGGGGATCTACCTCGCACTTTTTTGGAGGGCGACAAGCTATGTGCCCTAGAATGGACGTTTTCAGATACGTCCATGGCCTCAAGAGATCCATATTTGTTGTATAATTGAATTTTATTTTCCGACCCTTTTGGGGCTCTGCCACTTAGCTTTTTAGATAAATCTGGCTTGTTACTTTTGGGTTTAGTGATATCTTGTTGAGACTTTGTTGACGACTGAGAAGATGGTTCATGATCAGGGGACCTCTCTGACTGGATTCGAGATGTACCAGGAGGTGAGTTTCCAGTTTGTGTAGATGTAGCAGGCGAGAAAGGTTTAGGAGATTCTGTTTTTACCCAAGTTAAGTTTGTCTGACAACTTGAAGACACTTTAGTTACTCTAGATGGTACCTCAGCCGTTGGTCTGACAATTGAAGCATAACTTTCTGTCTGTTCTGAGCTGTGGACAAGTTTCTTGGCATCTGCAAAACTAATGTTTTGTGTAAATTTTATTTTATTAATTGCCATTTGTTCTTTCCAAACGGGACAGTCCTAAGAGTAAGATGGGTGATTCCCTGCGCAGTTGGTGCACTTTTTGACATTACTGACACAATCTTCTGTTGTGTGTGTCTTTTCACTACAGTGAGCACACACAACAGACAATGTGCAAGTATTCACGCCGTGGCCAAACTTTTGACACTTGAAGCACCTAAGAGGGTTTGTAATATATGTCTCAACATTGAGGTTACAATAACCTGCCTTCAGTGATTTTGGAGCATTTGGTAAAGAAAAGGAAAACAGATACAAGTTGGTTTTAATGGTTGTATCAAATTTACGTGTTGAGAAACGTTTAACATATAGTACACCCTGATCCTTCATCTCGGAGACGATATCAAGTTCCGACATGTCAGCCAGCAATCTATCGCGGTCTCACACGATTCCCTTGCTCGTGTTAAGTGTTTTGTGGGCCGTGACGGTAACCGGAATGTCAACAAAAGTGTCAGTGTTCAACAGGTTGGTAGACTGTTTTTTTTGCTGCACTCAATCAACAGCGCACCAGAACGTAATCTTTTAATGTTCTTTACATCGCCAGCAATGCCTTGAATACCCTTAGACACAGCAAAAGGGTTTAACTTCAATGGTGTGCTATCTTTGGTGTCAATGACAACAAAACGGGGCCAGTAATCAATTTGTTTCGATAGTCTGAGGTCGTTGTCATCAGGATCAGTTTCAAGAGGACGTTTGCTTTCAATTGTTGGGGTTTCATAAGCCATGGTAAGTGTTTAGACTTCATCATCCGAGCTCCCCACCCACCACGGAGTATCACAAAGGACAATGCTAAAAACAAGCGGGTCTCCGACTTGCAGCACCAAGGATACGCGGATGATATACTCAAGCAGAAAAAAGTAATTTTTCCACCAGATTGGCCCATGAGCCACCGCCATCTGGCACCAGCATCTAGGCAAATTTTCACAAATTTGAAAATCCATATATCACATAGTAGATACAAAAAAACAAAACATGTCAATATTGTGTCCAACTAAAACCAAGCCAAATAATATTAGAGGAATGAAATTTAGTGCTCAGGGCTCGGCATAACCAGCCGATTGGTTGAAGCGGGCCCATTCAACCACCCGTCTAGGTGAAGTCAGGGCCAAAGTGGTGTGTTGGGCAAAGGAACACTGTTCCTGGAACCAGTGCCCTCAACCACCAGAATCCCTTCCTCCACCGACACAGGGGCGCAACCCACGGCAAACGGGTTGGTGGACCAAATATACCCCCGGGTCCACAACGGGGGGTCGAAGAGGGCTTAGCGTTACCCAGCACCCACCACGAGGAGGTGGCTCTCCACGGGGGCCAGTTGTGTTTTAGTATTTAAATTATATACAACAGCTATAAATCATTTGTGCTCCTTTTCAAAGCTGGATATGAAAGTACTGTTACACCATTATCTGTCTCACATAACTGGCTCATCCTTACGGGTACCATGTCACCTCTGAGTGAACAGATGCATATTTTGAACAATGTGTGACAATGTGAGACCGAAGCCCAGTAAACCCTCTGGGGTCAAACCTGCAAAACATTCTCACGCATTCACTTGCTACATTCAACAAAAGTGTGACCCGTGCCCTGTACAGAGAATCGGGTAGCCCGAATTTAAATGAAATGGTATTTTTGTTATACAGCGGTGATATCCAGCCAAGGGTGCAGGGATGATAGTGACTGTACTCACGTGACATGTGACAGTTCCTCAAAGCTGGCCTGCTCTCATGGACAATGCACCTGTCTGGTCGCAGCCAATGCAGGTTCATGTCTTTCGGGTATGTCAATTAACAAAATGACGGTCCATATAACTGTATTCGGCATTTGGTATTATTTAGGAAAGACACTGCAATAACAAACTTTGCCAAAAGTGTGACAACAAGTATACACGGTTATAGAGAGTGGTTTGGAACAGAGTGAGGCACAAGGTAAGCGATCTTATTCACTTAACCACCACGACTTCAAGAAATGTCGAAGTCTCAATTCCAATTCGCTAAAGTCACTTTTTGTGCAAGCTTGATACCGACGGTTTGGATAACTGTGGGGATTCATTGACTAAGCACACGACAAAAACCATCTAAATCACACAACTGAGAGTTGTATTTGTACTGTGGTGAGGGACGTTCATATTTCAGCCACATGTACCGCCCGCGGCGACTGCGACAGCTGCAATTGTAGAGACAGCCATCAAGAACGTCATTTCTTTGACGGCAACTGTCTTTGTGGACACGGTCCAATAGGCCTTGGTGGACCAGGTGTATAAGAAACTACCAGCGTCATTATGGTCGGGTCATTTGTGGATCTATCTATCTATCTATCTATCTATCTATCTATCTATTTATCTATTTATCTATCTATCTATCTATCTATCTATCTATCTATAGACCGTTTTACTCCGAACGGGAACGATTAATTGCAAAATAACTAAAATTTCATGAATACACAATGCCATTTAGAAAGTGGTCAATTGAAACACATGTTTGGGATTACATTTTCCCAGTAAAATACAGATTCTAGTACCTTTATTGCCACCTCGGGTGGGTAAAGCGACTGACTTTGTGTGCTGGCGATTAGGTGCCTGACTGAGGGTGTGGGTTCGAATCCCGGATGGAACGCAACCCAACAAAAGTACTAGAATCTGTACTTAATTGTGAAAGTGTACGCCCAAATACTTACAATCTTAAGTAGTAAATGTCAATGAATACCTTATGTGATGTTTGTTATGGTTATGCCCATCACTGGAACTTGCCCGTTTACTTTCAGAGGGAAATAAATGAGAAACCCCATGGAAAGACTCCATATCACGTGGATCCATACATGAAAACATGTAAAATAAATCTGCTAATACAGTTAACTCGTTTGTGTTGGTTTCCATGCTTCCAATTATAGAATATATCCCATGGCTATTCCGGGTTTGTAGCCAACCCTCAAACGATCCCGATACAATATATGGATTTGTACTTGCTAGTTTTACGGGACTATAGCATTTCACTACACAATCTGGCTACAGCAGCGACCTCTGAGGGAATAAATGAGTATGATGGCCCGTAGACATACTGAGTTTGTGTCAAGGTGTAGAGCTGTGATAGCAGTGGTCAAGCCAGGGCTTGATCGGAACGTTCGACAATCAGTATTACCATAATTTATGTCCAGAGAGCATGATGTGTCGCGAAGGAAGTATCATCCTTGTGTTAAACAAATTAAATGAAAATGCACATACAACTGAATCTAGTAAATTGTTTCAAAGTGTGCTGATGCGTTTCCTTTCTAATTAAAGATGAAGAAGCTTTCAGATTACACAACTGCCATCTACTGAAACCCATACTCTCAGTGTCAGGCACATAATTGCCAGCACACAAAGTCAGCCATCTAACCCACTGAGCCATCGCTGTCTCCTAGAATGGGTACTTTACTGAGAAAGTGTAATCCCAAATTTAACATATGTATCAACACATTTCGACTTAAAATAGGATTGAAATAGGATCAAAATGAAATTATCAGTTAGAAATATTTTTATGTCGCAATCAGGTATTAAGTAGGTATTAAAACATATATTCTAACATGTAAAAAACGCTGATAATCACTTTGAAAATGGGATACATTTCTGTTAGTTAGATGACAACTTTAAACATGTCTTTTTCACGCACCAAATATATAGAGGTTTACAAAGGAAAGACTTCATTTCTTGATCAACCAAACGTGGTGATGAATGACCATGACTATAGTTCAGGGCAATTTGCCCAAGCTGAAAGCAAATATCAATGGAAACATTAAGTGAATGCTGAATTTCAGGGTACATTGGAACCTTTTGGATAAGAAGTTGGGTCAGGAAGTTGGCAACACCATGGCAACCAAATGTGCACTTCTTACTGGGTACTAGTAATTGTTTGGTATGAATTTCTGCAACATTGCTGCTTGAAAATACGGGAGTCTGTTTATGACGGGTGCCACCGGTGGAGCAGGGTACGCTCCCCTTTTTCGCAAACATCTGGTATCATCATTATTTCATAGTGATTCATAGTACATGCACTGTCATCGTATCGCATGGTGACAATCACTGAATACAAACAACATCATACAGCTGTAATACTGCTGAAACAAATATATGCTCGCAATTGTACAATCGACTCTGCTAGAGAGACTTTATTGGATTGGTGAGACTTTATTGGATTGGTGTTGGTATCACGGGCAAAAGAAGTATATAAGAGGATCAACCGTATGAAGACATTACTCTGAAAGTATTTCCTCAACCCTCAGACATGAAAGTTACACTGTTTCTCGTCATTGTCAGTGTCTCTGTTTATGAGTAGAAGACAGTAACTGAGATCATATTTTAGTTAGTGAGATTTAATATTTAAACATAATATACAACATAAATGCATTTGTACTGCTCGTTTTCCGTGCTTTATATCTGTGAGTGAATGAACGTTTCACGTCACCTCTAGTTAAAGGTAGGTCCACCTCTGGTCTTACTAATTGCCATGGTGGAGAAAAGAAAACCTGGGTTGGGGCTGTATTTTAAAGATTGATGTTAGCTGCAGAAATAGTGGATTGTATTCTTATTCCTAGTGGTGAAATATAGTTATTTATAAAGATGATGAAAAACACGGTTTTAGTCAGCATTTAATTCATTAGAACGTAATGTAGATATTTCCGTCTTGATGATGGAGGAACACACATCAGCTGGAGTTATTGCTTGAAGAATGGTCGGAAAATGATTCCTGCTCCACAGACCGTTGTGCACTGACCATTCAAATTCATTCACAAGTTCTGTGTGAGTGATAGATAAATCTATAGAATAGACAGATCGTTGTTAGAAATAAAATCGTCTAGCATCTTCCCATTTCTGTTTGTATCAGAACTATCCCAAAGTGGATTATGACCGTTTAAGTCACCCATAATGATACAAGGCTTCGGAAGCTGGTCATAGAGAGTCTGAATGTCAGGTTGTTGAAGAGTGGAAGATGTTGGTTCATAGAGTGAGCACCATGTTAAAACAATGTTCAAAGTCAATCTGACAGCAACAGCTTGACTATTTGTATTTTAGGGAACACTGATATGTATAACATCACCAAAACTGAAGAACCTCCTATAGCTCTAGGTCCTGGAGGAAGAAAGAAGTTACACGGTCTATATTGTCTTCTATAAATAAGATCTGTGTCTTTAAGATAGGTTTCCTGAAAACAAAATGCCGTTGGCCAGAAATCTTGTATCAGTAACTGTAAATCATAGACATTGTTATTCAGTCCTCTTCTATTCCACTGGACAATATTATTTGAACTGTTCCTGGAGGATCAACTGGAGAACGTGAGTTGGAGTGGGGTATATTTCCAAGGAAGGATTTCAGTACATACACTGTGTGTGTGTATCAGCCAATACGCCTACACTTTAAACAATGGAAACCATGGCAATGAGACCGGAAGTGGGGTATAAAATTTGAACTTGAACCTGCAAAACATGCTCATCCATCAACTTACTAAATTCCACCAATGTTGCTTAAAAATGTGAGTCTTGACCTCCACAGAGGCCCAGATGTTAATGATATGTTTCATTCTTTGCATCAGCTGTGATCTACAGCGAAGACTGCAGGGATGATAGTGACTGTAGTCACGTGACATGTGACAGTTCCTCAAAACTCGCCTGCTCTCATGGACAATGCACCTGTCTGGTGTCAGCCACTGCTGGTTCCTGCTTTTCAGGTATGTCAGTTAATGAAAGAATTTCAGTCCTCATATTTGACCCGTTAACGTATTAATGAGGAAAGATTCCCCTGTACCAACACGTAAAGTTCAAAACGTCATTCGAACCTTCATCCGTCATTCGAACCTGCACATTTAGCCAATGCTTGTTCCTGCTTTACAGGTACGTCAGTTAACAAAATAACGGTCGTAATAACTACAGTCGGCTAATTATGGAATTATAATTTTCAAGTAAACTACAAAATTCGAGTTCTGTTTTGTGTTGAGACACACTCTGAATGAGGCCCTAAAGTAAGCGACTTTCTCACTCAGCAACCGAGGCTTTGACAAAAATAAAAATCACTATTACAATTCGCTAAAGTCTATTTTTGTGGAATCTTGACGGTGTGGACAATTGCAGGGAATCACTGACCAAGCGTACGACCGAATTTAAATCACACATCTAAGAGCTGTATTTGTACTGTGATGTTCAAGTTAAGAGTGACATTCATATTTCAGCCACATGTTCCGCCCGCGCCGACTGCGACAGCTGTCGTTGTAGAGACAGCCACACAGACCGTCATTGCTTCGACGGACATTGTCTTTGTGGACGTGGGTTTGGACCTGGCGTGTAAGTAACAGGAAGGGTTCTTTTCGAGCAATGGCCATTGGTGAGTTGTTCCTTGACTTCGTTCAGGGCTGGTGGACATGACAGACCAGGCATAAAACTGTACTCAGCATAATTAATTCGGTCACCTAGATCAGTTAGAGAACAGGGCCCCGTTCCTCAAAGCGATCGTAGCGCTACGACAGTCGTAAGTCTATGTTAAAGTATGGGAGTTACGATTACCTTAGCGCTACGATCGCTTTGAGGAACGGGGCCCTGGTTGTTTGTGCCTTTCACACATTGTTGCAGTACTTTTACGCAAGTGGAAAGTCCCTAGAATGGTGATCTGCCTTCGGTTGTTGGCAATCTATAGCCTGTGTTTATATGGTATTGTCATCTGTAGTTAAAATATGTTAGATTTAATTGATAGTTCTAATTTTACATCTGTTCTAGGTCTTTTACTGTCCTTCGTTGACAGGTTTTCAAAAATTAACATTTGATTACTATAAATCTATAACCTTCTGCCATATCGTGATTTAGTCACGATGTGACTGAAATATTGCCGATGTGACTTAAAATCTTAACTAACTCACTCACTCACGAAAGAGGAAAAGTGCACAACGATTACGTTTCTTTGACATACTAATTACAACCAATAGAATTTCTTTCTGTGTATCACTTTATAATAGACTATCAATTTGTTTGCATCGCATGTATCATTTATTTCATCTCGGTGGCAAAAAGATGCAAAACTCTTCATTAAGCCGGTGTTGACATTTTTCCCGTTTACCTCGGCTGTGTCTTGGTGTCGGTAAAAGTAATTAGGTCTCGATCATCTGACGAAACAGATTTCATTGGAGGGATAAAATATAATACATGATATAAATGGGTCACTGACACCTGTTGTTTGCGGATAGAGTGGGATTGTAATTTTACAAACGTTAATTAATATCCATAGTTACTGAATGTTCAATTTCTAATATAGAAGTTTAAAATTGTCACTCATCACTTACTCCTTTACTTTCAGCGGAAAATAAAGAAGAAAGGCTCATCGAAATTATCCATACTATCTGGATACCACATGTATATGTGTAAAATAAATTTGATACAATAAACTGGTGTGTTTTGATATTGGTTTCCATGCTTAAGCCTGTGGGATACATCTTACACTTATACCGGGTTCATTGCCTATCCTCATCAAAGCATGATAGAATGGATCTGGATTTGCTAGTTTTACATGACTATTGTATTTCACTAAATATACTAGCGACAGTCGCCACCGTTGGTGAAATTAATGAATGTGGCCCGTAAACTTTATCAATTCACTGGTCGGAAGACTTGACGATGGACGTACGTGTCTTGTGACACAACACCCAGTATTGCTGTATATCTACAGAACATGTATCTATGGCCATGTTGAGTGCCGTCCTAGTGTTAATTATATGAAATATGCACGTTCAGTTGAACCCAGTAATATACTTCAAAGTTTGTCGATATATTTCTTTTCTTATTTAAGATGAATAGGCTTTCAGACACCTAATCGAAATATAATTTCCAACATACCACTGCCATCAACTGAATCTTGACAGCAGCAATGCATGCAACACCACAATTTTACGAGAAATACTACTACCACACGAATTATATTGCATTATGACTTACTATAGTGATAATATACCAGTAATATATGAAACGCCGAAGCATGGATAGCATTGATTGCTTGGATCTACGTTCTTGCCCAAATGTCAAATCATCACGAGTTAAATCGATACCATTAATGAGTGAGTGAGTTTAGTTTTACGCTGCTTTTAGCAATATTCCAGCAATATCAGGACGGGGGACACCAGAAATGGGCTTCACACATTGTACCCATGTGGGTAATCGAACCGGGTGTTCGGCGTGCGGAGCCAACGCTTTAACCACTAGGCTACCCCACTGCCCTGATACCATTAGTAATAGAGAGAAGGCAATGCGTTCACAGCTCCTTGATCTGTTTTCTACAGTATTTATATCAAAATAGAGTTTATGATCAACTCCGGAAGTCAGTATTGTCATTATGTCCACAGAGCATCTCGTGTCTATCAAGAAGTTAAATGTCATCGTTGTGTTAAGGACATTTAATGAAATATGCACATTCAACTGAACCCAGTAAACGTTTCAAGTTTTCCGATGTATTTTTCTTCTGTTAAGGATGGTGAAGCTTTCAGATTACCCTTGACTCCCAGTCGAAATGTAGTTTCCAGCACATCACTGCCATCTACTGAATCTTTACAGAAAGGATCGATGCATGCAACTGCAAAACTCTTTAGCATGTTAAAATATTGATCTTCAATAACCCATGCTTGTCGTAAGAGGCGACTAATGGGTTCGGGTGGTCAGGCTCGCTTACTTGGTTGACACATGTCATCGGTTTCCAATTACGTAGATCGATGCTCATGCCGTTGATCAATAGATTGTCTGGTCCAGACTCGATTATTTACAGACCGCCGCCATATAGCTGGAATATTGCTGAGTGCGGAGTAAAACTAAACTAAACTCACTCACTCTTTTGCATGGAATAATACTGCTACAATACAGAAGTTACAGTGAAAACAGTAATATGTGAACAATAAGAATGTATAGCATGGGTTGCTTGGATCTGCGCTCTTGCACACCTGTCAAATCCTCAGGAGGAATATGACGCTATCAGCAATAGAGGGAGGTTCGATTTAATTGTGACTGAAGATTGTAGTACAAAGCCCGTAATCTGTGGGAGGCCTTAGCATGAATGGCATGGGTTGCTTGGATCTACGTGTTTGCCCACCTATCAAATCCTCACGAATTGAATTGACGCTGTTAGTAAGAGAGAGGAGGACATGTGTTTGGAAGTTTATGTTGGAAATATTGTCTACTATGATTCATAATGATGTGCAAACAGAGAATGTGGTCAGCTGTGACAAATGTGGACCATATTTATCCATACATTTCTACACATGCCATAAAAGGGGTTCAAATGGGATTGACATGAAATTATTACTTGAACAGTTGTTCTGTCACAATCCATTAATCAGGTACATAAACCATATATTCAAATATGTAAAACGCTTGTGTGTAGTTAGACGCATAAGATCCAGACATATTTCTCGTGGAAACATTTCATTTCTTGATTAACTAAACATGTTGATGAATAGCCATGCATGTAGTTCCCGGTTAGTTCCGGGCAATTTGCCGAGGTTGAAAACGAAGATCATCTGAAGCTTACAATGAAAACATTGTGTGATTGCTGCATTTCAGAGTTCGGAGCAAATTGTATCAGCTTTGGTTTTTGATACGACATTGGAGAAGGTTTTCTTTTGGTGAAGTCCTGGATGTTTTGATAATATTTCAACATTGTCCCATTTGATGTTGTGATTAGGACAGTTGATTATGTGTTATGAGATAGCTGATTTTTGGTTGATGCTAGGTGTTCTTTAATTCTGAGGTTTATGGGGCGGGAGGTTTCCACCTTCAGCCTCACCACAGTCACAGTTGATCTTGTAGACAACTCCTTTGGGTTTTTGTTGTTTAGAAGTGTTCCTACCATTGGCTTGGGGTAGAGTTTTCAGTGGGATGGAGTTGTGAAACAGGTTTCGATGCCGGCTTGTCGTTTGAGGAGATGGCTGATGTGGTGGGAGGTCTGTCCTATGAAGGGGAGATACGGATGGGTGCTAGTTCGGGTTTAATTGTGTCTGGTTTTCTTGCTAGATGGTGGGTGGTGCTGATGATTTTGTCAACTAGCCTGGATGGGTAGTGGTTAAACTGGGTGAAGACAAGGCGGGGGTGCTGGATTTCTGCGGTTGGGTTGGTAGAACAGAGCTTGAAGGCGCGTCTGGTGAGGGTGGAGATGATGCCAGTATTAGTTGTCAGGAGGTGGCTGGAATCAAAGTGTATGTATTGGTCGGGATGGGTTGGCTTTCTGTAGACACTGGTTTGGATCTTGTTGGGTGGGGTTCTGGTTACGAGGACATCTAAAAAGGGAAGTTGGCCATTGGTCTCTTTTTCTGTGGTGAACTGGATGCGAGGGTGTTGTTGGTTGAGGTGATGCAGGGTGATTTCTGGGTATTGGTCCTGTTATAGGATGACAAAGGCAGGGTTAGAACTAACCTTTTCAAGCACACGCCAAATGAAGCAAAACATAAAATGATTTCAAAATCAATAACCTTTATTTTTCACAACCTTAACTACACGTGTTAAATGATGACAAAAGTCAACGACAACGACCATTTTCAAATGTTTTCTGATTTAAATCAACAAAAACACGGGACGTTAAAAAAGTCGGCCTTTGTTAAATAATTTAACGCTATTATGAATTTTAATCGCATTTAGCGTATTTAATTAGCGTCCGTTAATTTCGACCTTTCGAAGGTATCATCGACTTTCCTGTACAGGTTTGATAGGTGAGGTGCTGAGTGCCTGCTGTTCAAAAGAGGCCATATAAATTTCAGTATTGAGTGGGGACATAGAGGAGCCCATGGGCATGTCGTGGATCTGCTCATAGAAGTCTCCTTCCCAGGTGAAGTAGGTGGAAGTAATGCACGCAAAAGTCAGGTTGATGATAGAATCAGTGGAGAGGTTGGTGTCAAGAGAGGTTTCTAGGTCGTCGATGCGGCGGCGGAGGATTTGGAGGTTTTCTTCTATAGGGACACTGGTGAAGAGGTCCACAACATCATAAATAAGGATCTGGCTGGCTTCGGTGGTTTTCAGGAGTTTGGTACAGAAATCAGTGTAGTCAGAGATGAAGGAGTCAGCTGTTTTCCTGAGTGGGGCAAGGAATTTCGTGAGGTGTTGAGCGGTAATGTAGAACACAGTGTCTCTGGACTGTAGAACATTGTATCTCATCAATTTCTAAAATGCCAATCAAACAGAAAACAGGGAAGTTTGGCAAAGAATTCATAGAATAGCTTCAGGTATGTTGTTGATCTGATGCTGTCAAATAATCTTTTCAAAGCAATCACTTCCACTGATTTCATTGAACCAGAAGTAGATGGGGCCAATGAAACAGGTTCATATACGAGTGTATCATATTGAGATCAACACAGAGAAGTGTCAAAGCATCAAATAAACCATATAACAAGAGGAATGACTTCGACTTTCCAACATTGCATCTTTCCAGCCTTTGGTGTTCACATTGAACATTTTGTGGAGATGCAATCGAAAACGCTTTTTATGCCTCGTACCGTTTCTGAGAACGCGAATCTAATGTTCTGAATGAAATAATGAAACTGTATACCCATTTCACTATCAAACACCCCTCTCTATACAAGAATTCTTTACAAGGAGTATCTTCACGTCACTCCATATGTTGCGCCATATTTTAAACAAAAGTGATCAGAAGATGTCAAATCCCCCCCCGGCCTCCACAGCTTTGAAGGGACAAATCATCTGGTAGTTACTTAAAGTCCAACTGGATGTATAACTTGCCCGTCCGTAGACAACAGTAGTTATTGAGCTATGAAAACAATAACATGGAATTGGGATTCGTAATGTTGTACTTATATGTCAGGTAAACGCCAATACCAAAGTCTAAGAAAAAAAATACAAATTCTAAAAATCGCTTAAAGCAAACGTCAGCAGTCGACAACCTGATTTGTTTGTGCACAGTTTCATAAAAGATACCTAGTACTCTTTCAAGACATGGTCCTGACAAACACAACACTATGAACATAGTCAAAATCAAACTTTCTGCCATGGAAACGGACAAAACGTAAATTCTTTAATTATATGCCAACCAATTAGTTTTAAGGATATGGTCCGGACAAACACACCATTATGAACAGAGTCAAACTCAGACTTGTTGCATGGAAACAGGAAACAAATTCATTTTCTTAAAATAGTAAAAGGCATCACTTCAGCCCTTGGTTAATTCGTGTACCCGGTTTAGATAAAAACTGTCTCATGGTTTCTGAGCGGTGCTCCGGAAACGGAACCCACACCCTCCTTTTTGGGACTTAGTCCAAATCGTTTTTATGGAAATCGAGGTTAATATCAATGCTAAGTAGCAAAACGCACCACTTTAGTATGATATATGTGCAAACTTTTGTTGAAAGATATTGTTATGCTCCGGAAAAGACACCGTACTCCATTTCTGCTAAGTCTAACTTGTTTCTATGAAAACAGGGAAAAATCAAATTTTGAAAACTTCCTAAATAACAAAAGGCACAACTTCAGCTCATGGTTAATAAATGTACCAGGTTTGGATGAATAATAATTAGTGGTTTCCAAGTTGAGTGGGAGTTATTCATGAAAAAAACCCGGGGTTTTAAAAGTTAAGGCGAACTGGACTAGGGCATGTAGACCAAACAGTGCAGTGTGTGTCATGATGGACACCAATAGACGTCGTCCGGGTACTTTACCGCGCCATCGACCACGTACCGGAGCCTGACCACCCGATTCATTTTGTCACCTCCTATGACCAGCAGGTTGAACAGGTGGTGTAGGGTATAGATTCTTCCGTCACTCCGTTGAGCCGGAAGCCACAGGAGTAATGTAGGCGAAGAACGATTTGACATGCCACGAGTAGCGCTTAAAATGTTCAATTAAATATATTGTACTTGGGTAATTATTAAATGTTAGGTTGGAATCTGAGTGCAAAACTCTGTGAGGATGAAAATGGGTGTCTTCCTTTGATGGTGGCGATATTCTATTTTGAAATTAAGAATATTTTTCGAACCGAAGCGAGGGAAGCACGTTGCAAAACTTTTCTCGCTTCGCTCACATATAGAAACACTGGTAATTTTTCTCTCTGTTGCGCAACCTTGTTTGCCCTACAGTTTGCCTGTGGCTAAAGCTTTCTTTTTACACCGGTCATATGGGTGTATATTATGTCGTATAACTATTAGTTTTGTTGAGTATTTATTGCATATAAGACATGGTAGGGTGCCCTCTACTTGGAGATCCAATTCAATTCTCTATGTTGTTTCTACGGAGATGTTTGTAAATAATATTTGTATAAAATTGAATTATTTATGTATTTGTAAAAAGGTTTAATTTTAACAACAGACGTGTCAGGGAGGTCATCAGATATCGACAAATGAACCTTTAGAGCCATGAAAGTTACATTGTTTTTCGTCGTTGTCTGCGCTTTTATTGGTGAGTAGAAGATATAACTACATCTATGATGTTCTAAACGTGTACGTTAGCTGAGATTACATATTTAAAAATATACAATTATGACAACGTTTATTTGTATTGCTCTTTTTACATGATATCAATGAGCACCATTGTCACCCGGTATGCAAGTTCCACATCATTCGACTTATTGCTTTGCTCGCCATAGTTTTACACGTAGTATATCCTTCAGTTAAATTTTGGCAAAACTCGTCAATTATTACGAGTGAATGATGTAAATCCAGTGAGGGTTCATGCAGGAAGCAAAAGTACTGTAAGTCATCATGGCCACTAGTATGGTGATCTGCCCACTGACCCTTTCGGGAACCATGTCACCTCTGAGTGAACAGAGGCACAATTGGAACAATGGCAGGTGCCAACTGAAACATCAGATGTTGTATAAAGAAAAGATGGTGATTCTGTCGAACAGGTCTGATCTACAGCGAGGACTGCAGGGATGATAGTGACTGTACCCACGTGACATGTGACAGTTCCTCGAGACTTGCCTGCTCCCATGGACAATGCACCTGTCTGGTCGCAGCCAATGCTGGTTCCTGCTTTTCAGGTATGCCATTTAATGGAAAAACTTCAGTCCTCATATTTGACCCGTTAACATATTAATGAGGAAAGATTCCCCTGTACCAACACGTAAAGTTCTAAATGTTTTGTGTTGAATTACATCCGTGATTCTGACCAACACACTTAGAAAGAGGCACCAAAGTTGCTCACTACGTGGGTCCCATTCAGCCTCCGAGACTTGCCCAAATAAGGAAGCCACCATTCCAAGTCGCCTGAGTCCATGTCTGTGGAAGCTTCAGTGGCTTGATATGATACAGGCGGTAGGGAACCATTGACTCCGCGTGGGACAGAATCTAGCCTAATCACACCTCTGTTGATATTTCAGCCACGTGTTCTGCCCGCGCCGACTGTGACAGCTGCCAGTGCAGACAAACCCATACAGACCGTCACTGCTTTGACGGCCACTGTCTTTGTGGACGTGGTGCTTTTGGACCTGGTGGACCTGGCGTGTAAGTAACTATACTCAGCTTCATACCTGAAGGGTCACCAAGGTGTGTAAGTAATTATACTCAGCTTCATAACTGAAGGGTCGCCAAGGTGTGTAAGTAACTATACTAAGCTTCATAACTGAAGGGTCGCCAAGGTGTGTAAGTAACTATACTCAGCTTCATAACAGAAGGGTCACCAAGGTGTGTAAGTAACTATACTCAGCTTCATAACTGAAGGGTCACCAAAGTGTGTAAGTAACTATACTCAGCTTCATAACAGAAGGGTCACCAAGGTGTGTAAGTAACTATACTCAGCTTCATAACTGAAGGGTCACCAAAGTGTGTAAGTAACTATATTAAGCTTCATAACAGAAGGGTCACCAAAGTGTGTAAGTAACTATCCTCAGCTCCATAACTGAAGGGTCGCCAAGGTGTGTAAGTAACTATACTCAGCTTCATAACAGAAGGGTCGCCAAGGTGTGTAAGTAACTATACTCAGCTTCATAACTGAAGGGTCGCCAAGGTCGCGTAAGTAACTATACGCGACTCTTCATAAAAGAAGGGTCGCCAAGGTGTGTAAGTAACTATACTCAGGTTCAAAACAGAAGGGTCGCCAAGGTGTGTAAGTACCTATACTCAGCTTCATAACAGAAGGGCTGCCAAGGTGTGTAAGTGACTATACTCAGCTTCATAACAGAAGGGCTGCCAAGGTGTGTAAGTAACTATACTCAGCTTCATAACAGAAGGGCCGCCAAGGTGTGTAAAAACTATACTCAGCTTCATAACAGAAGGGCCGCCAAGGCGGGTATGCAGGAAAGCAAAAGTACTGTAAGTCATCAAGGCCACTAGTATGGTGATCTGCCCACTGACCCTTTCGGGAACCATGTCACCTCTGGAGTGAACAGAGGCAATATTTGGAACAATGGCAGGTGCCAACTGAAACATCAGATGTTGTATAAAGAAAAGATGGTGATTCTGTCGAACAGGTCTGATCTACAGCGAGGACTGCAGGGATGATAGTGACTGTACCCACGTGACATGTGACAGTTCCTCGAGACTTGCCTGCTCTCATGGACAATGCACCTGTTCTGGTCGCAGCCAATGCTGGTTCCTGCTTTTCAGGTATGCCATTTAATGGAAAACTTCAGTCCCTCATATTTGACCCGTTAACATATTAATGAGGAAAGATTCCCCTGTACCAACACGTAAAGTTCTAAATGTTTTGTATTGAATTACATCCGTGATTCTGACCAACACACTTAGAAAGAGGCACCAAAGTTGCTCATTACGTGGGTCCCATTCAGCCTCCGAGAGTAAGTAACTATACTAAGCTTCATAACTGAAGGGTCACCAAAGTGTGTAAGTAACTATACTCAGCTTCATAACTGAAGGGTCGCCAAGGTGTGTAAGTAACTATACTCAGCTTCATAACTGAAGGGTCGCCAAGGTGTGTAAAGTAAGTAACTATACTCAGCTTCATAACAGAAGGGTCGCCAAGGTGTGTAAGTAACTATACTCAGCTTCATAACTGAAGGGTCGCCAAGGTCGTGTAAGTAAGTAACTATACTCAGCTTCATAACAAGAAGGGTCGCCAAGGTGTGTAAGTAACTATACTCAGCTTCATAACTGAAGGGTCGCCAAGGTGTAGTGTGTGTAAGTAACTATACTCAGCTTCATAACAGAAGGGTCACCAAAGTGTGTAAGTAACTATAATCAGCTTCATAACTGAAGGGCTGTCAAGGTGTGTAAGTAACTATACTCAGCTTCATAACAGAAGGGCCGCCAAGGTGTGTAAGTAACTATACTCAGCTTCATAACAGAAGGGCCGCCAAGGCGTGTAAGTAACTATACTCAGCTTCATAACAGAAGGGTCGCCAAGGTGTAAGTAAAACAGAAGGGTCTATAACTATACTCAGCTTCAAAACAGAAGGGCCGCCAAGGTGTGTAAGTAACTATACTCAGCTTCATAACAGAAGGGCCGCCAAGGTGTGTAAGTAACTATACTCAGCTTCATAACAGAAGGGCCGCCAAGGCGTGTAAGTAACTATACTCAGCTTCATAACAGAAGGGCCGCCAAGGCGGGTAAGTAACTATACTCAGCTTCATAACAGAAGGGCCGCCAAGGTGTGTAAGTAACTATACTCAGCTTCATAACAGAAGGGCCGCCAAGGCGGGTAAGTAACTATACTCAGCTTCATAACAGAAGGGCCGCCAAGGCGGGTAAGTAACTATACTCAGCTTCATAACAGAAGGGCCGCCAAGGTGTGTAGTAACTATACTCAGCTTCATAACAGAAGGGCCGCCAAGGTGTGTAAGTAACTATACTCAGCTTCATAACAGAAGGGCCGCCAAGGCGGGTAAGTAACTATACTCAGCTTCATAACAGAAGGGCCGCCAAGGTGTGTAAGTAACTATACTCAGCTTCATAACAGAAGGGCCGCCAAGGCGGGTAAGTAACTATACTCAGCTTCATAACAGAAGGGCCGCCAAGGTGTGTAAGTAACTATACTCAGCTTCATAACAGAAGGGCCGCCAAGGTGTGTAAGTAACTATACTCAGTGACATTACTGACATGTTGCCTAGACATGTAAGGTACTAGGTAGATAGCCTGGGTATGGAATAAACTATACTCAGCCTGAGATTTATGGCAGTGTGATGTTGGTGATACCTCATCACACTGATCTGATGCTGTCACGAAACTAGAATCGCTATGTGTCTGTGCATCTGTTCGTTTCTCCATAAACCGCGTGTCTGTCTGCTTATGACATATATTATGGGATAAGGGTTTCAGTGGAGTGGAGAGGCTAGTTTCTTTAGTCTGCAAGAATAACTCATCACTTACCTGTTTACTTTCAGAGGCAAATAAAGATGGAGAGCTCCCATGGAAATGTATCATGTGGATACATACATGAACAGATGTAAAATAATTGTCAACACGATAAATATATATACCCATGTAAAATAAACCAGTTTATACATTTGATTGGTTGGTTGTTTTCTTGTTTAACGTCACGCTCAGCAATTTGGCTTCGGTCTGTAAATAATCGAGTCTGAACCAGACGATCCAGGGGTCAACAGCATGAGCACCAATCTACGCAATTGGGATACGATGCCATGTGTCAACCATGTCAGTGAGCCTGACCACCCGATCTCGTTAGTCGCCTCTTACGGCAAGCATGGATTACTTGAAGACTAACCAGATATTCACGGGTGCTATTTATACAGTTGACTAGTTTGTTTTAATGCTGGTTTCCATGCTTACACTTATTATTAATAATAATATTGCGTGGTATGCTGACACATGTGGAATATATCCCATGGTTCTTCTGGGTTTGGTGCCTATCCTCAAAAGATCACAATACAATATAAGGATCTGAATTTGGTAGTTTCACGTGACTATTGGATTTCTTCAAAGTAAAACTCTAATTTCAATCAAATCAACATCTTAAGTTCCTGTTGAAATATTTCCATTCATAGATATCCAAAACTGCAATTTGTATAACAATTCACGAGCTTGTATTGTGCCAGAGCAAAGATGAAAATATTGTCGTCAATATTGTACCGATTTTCTAAGAATCTGGGCCTAGATTTTCGAAAGCTCTCTTAGCGCTAAGATAGTCGTAAGTTAATGTTAATGTATGGCACTTACGACTATCTTAGCGCTAAGAGAGCTTCGAAAATCTAGGCCCTGGAAACTATCCATTCTGTCATTGAATTTACATTAATCAATTAATTAATTGCTTCATCAGTCAATCAACCTTTATTTACAGTACTGAAAAGACCGTAGGCCTATGGTACATTTTTACATACAGTAGCAAAGGGTGCAATATAAATGAATAGATCGTAAATAATATCACATCTGTAATGCTGAGGATCTGATATTCATTGCATGGTATTGCGTTTCGGTCTCCACAAATGTGAGTTGAGATGTCAGTTTGTAGATGTCTTACACTTCCGTTGTTAGGAATGAAGAAGCCTGATAAAACGGAACTTCTCCTTCGCCTTCATGCAAAAACCTAACGCTATAACATCGGGAGCATAAGTCTAAGAAAACTTAGGTTCAGTATTATTCGTTACACTGCTATACTGAGTCTAACAAACCCTAAAAGAAGGTCGCGTCACCTAACCTTTTAGCAGCCTATGACCGTCCAATGAAATGCGAGAAGGCCGAACAGATTTAACCAATCAAACAACAGCTACTGTTTAGGGTTCCGCGGGCTTACAAAATTCCCCGGTCACTGATACTGATCTCTCTCTCAACGACCGAAAATCCGCATAAAACACAGATATTAATTTCATCTGCAGAATATACGTTTAGGGCTTCTGATGACATGGTTACCATTAGTTAATATTTCCGCAAGCTGCCATCCTTGGATATTGACAAAAACGCTATTTTCAGCGACTGTTTACTCACTGTTATGGCGTGCTCCATGTGCATGACTCGGAAGCGATCGTACAGAAAATAGCATCGGAACCGTTCGAGTACAAACTTTTTCGAGGTACAAGTTCAAAAGGTATGTGCGAATGTCAACGTTCGCGATTTGGTAAGCTGTGCTCTAATTGGTCAATTGAAAAGGTTAGCTGACGCGACATTCTACCAGAGTTTGTTAGTGTAACGAATAATACTGAGTTTACTTAGACTGGGAGCATAAATACACTTTGTGAAAGAAATTTATCTTTATTTCAATTATTTATTTTGTTCACATTGATTCGATTATTTGCTGGTTATTTTGATTAGTTTCTCGAAATTTCAAGTGTTTTTAAGAGCCCGAAATTTTGAGAAAATTATTGCAATAACGAGAAGTAAAGCAAATATTATGAATAACGACAAATGTCTGTGACAAATATTTATGCTATCAAAGTGGCACAATTGGGCTTTCGTACTTATGTCATGGAGTTTGTCACGGTGAGGGAGCAGTGACTGTCTCCAGGGTCAGGAGGTACAGGGATACCCAACCAGCAGGCTCTTTGACACTGGAGATGCAGCTACACTGTGACACCTGGGGATGTTGTTACTGCAATTTCACATGGAGGAGGGTAGAGGGGCAGCTCATACAGTGAACCATAGCCAGTGGATCAGTGATGACTGCTCAGACAGTTGTGTTCCTGGACACCTGGCAGAACAAGGGCGTGTTTGTTGGTGACTACACCTCCTCCCTCGACATCCAGCTGCCTGCCAGTCACGTGACCTCCAGCCATGCTGGGATATTACAGGTGTGAAGTGGATGGAGTATCCGGAGATAGTTATCCGCACGACGTCATCGTTACCATTTTGTGTGAGTGTACACAGAAAGTGTGAATCGCAGTCATCAGTAGTTTTATCTTTACATTTGCCATAATAAAGTACATATAAGCACAGATATGTACGCATTCCTATGGTGGTAATTCCTATTAAAAATACAACGTGATGACAATGTGAAATAACTATTTTTTCATTTTAATATAGTTTTGTAATTTGTATTGAAACTTTCATACCGTTTTCAGTATAGTTTCAAAATGTAACTGCATTTCTGGACGCTAAACCAGGATGCATTCCATCGATATCTGGCCTCCCGTCCACATACCAAGTGATCGAGTTTGTCCTGGTCTCAAGTGATAAACTGCAGCACCTACATCCACACCAGGCAACCCCAATCAATCTCAACCTAAGGCCAGGTGGACCCATGGTGGATCTACTGTGAAATTAATTAAGGTCATGAAGTAGCGATGGGGAAGCAAGCATCAAGGCAGCGAGCCGTCAAAGGGAACTACATCCTGTACTCGCCGGCAACAATCAGAGGGTCAGGACTCAGCCCTCAGTCCGCATTGGGACGTACTCTGAGAGTATGAAAGCTATCATCAAGAAGAAGACGATGTTTATATTTTAATATTCTTTATATCTTACCGTCATTCCGGGAAGACATTATATTCCTAATCAAACCCGTTACGACAGATGCGCCATCCATATCTGGACTCCAGGGCGTCTACAAAGTGAATGAATCATCCTCGTCCTCCAGGATAAACTGTTTAGCACCCACACCGCACCAGGCAACTCCGCCAATCATAACCTACAGGTGGACCCATGGTGGTTCTACTCTGTCAGTACTGGGGCCTTGTGCTGGATAGAAGCAACATCAGCAGGAGTCCAGGGAGGGATCTACATCTGTACTGCCAGCAACTTTCTATCACCAGGTGGAGGACTCAAAACAACCAGCGAGCAGCACAAAGTCTCTGTAGATGTTCAATGTAAGTCAGATAACTCATTGTGCCTCAAGACCCGCGAAGATCCAGGTTAGGATTGGTCTTCAGCAGCTCCCGGCTTGTCCTTAGAGGTCACTAACTTGGGGATCAGGTTGTCAGGTTCGCTGACTTGGTTGATGCATGTCATTGTATCCCATTTGCGGAGTTCTATCCTCATGCTGCTTGATCACTGGATTATCTGGTCCAGAGTCACCCGTGAAGATCAGGGTTAGAATATTGATCTTCCGTAACCCATGAATTTGTCGTAAGAGGCGACTAACGGGATCGTAATGGTCAGGCTCCACGCTGACTCTTGGCTTGACACATGTCCTCAGTTCCCTATTGCGTAGATCGATGCTCATGCTGTTGATCACTGGATTGTCTGGTCCAGACTCGATTATTTACAGACCAACATAGCTGTAATATTGCTGAGTGCGACGTTTAAACAACAACAAACAAACAAACAAATCACGTCGCGTCAGGTAACGTCGATCGGGTATATTCTACATTCTACATACCTCTGCTTTCTGTATCTTGATAAATGCCCTGAAAAATTACGTCATATCTTACCACCGAAACATGAGACCTCCTACATGTATCTATGCACAGAGAACTTAATTAAAGCAGCCCTGCTTTTTGCATGTGATAGAGTTTTCAACATGTACATAACCCGAGCCACGATGGAAAACTGGCATGACTTTTGTTACGATTTGATCTTTTGACTCATAAAGACGACAAAAATTATTGGAATCCATTTTGATTTTATTATGATAATTGCTTATTTAAAAGAGCCACTGACATGCAAACCATGTCTGTACAAGTATGGCCCTCATACGTTTAGTGTTCAGTTTATTGGTGAATGTAAATATTCAAAATGTCATTTTGCGTGTCTTACACGATTCAAGGTCAATACCGAGTGTAACCTCAATGTGACTGTGTTAAAGACAGCAATCTCCCCTCATACTCCCTGTCAGCCTCTGTGATACTCCTGATCCTCTGAGCAGTCTAAGCCATTCATCGTGCAAAGCAGCTTCCAATTGGGCCAGGTTCTGTACAGGAGGATCCCTTTGTTGCACACGACGACCATTCATGTCCCAGATATGCTCCAAAGGGTTCAGATCGGAGCTCATTCAATCGTGAGATATGTCAGGCGGTGCTTAACTAAGTCCTTTGTATATACATGTATATAAGTTTCATGTCAACTATTCCAGATTTAGATACCCCTGTCCTCGTGTTTGAGAAGTCAGAAGCTACTGAGAATGACTCACTGACCCTAAACTGCAACGTTATAACATATTGTTAAGAAATGATAGAATGACCCTGTTCATATCTTCGTCTCACTTCAATACGTATTAGGTGCTCCCAGGCTTGACACTCGGGTCCCCTTTATCAGCCGATTGTACAGAGGCCTGAATGAAGTGGCGGCATTGAAAGCTGCTATTGTATGTAACCCTCCGCCTGTGTTCAAGTGGCTGGCCTACCTAGATAATCAGCGTGTTCCGATACCCAACGCAACATCCCACACGGTCATCACATCTGGGCAACAGTCAGTGCTGCAAGTGATGGTCAGACAGGTGTCAGAATATGGAAAGTATTCTGTTGAAGCTACAAACGACGTGGGGCGAACACAGCTAGTTTACACCATAGCGCCTGCAGGTGATGTGCACATATTGATAGAGTGAGTGTGAGATCGAGGTATGATTTTACGTAGCTTTTATCAATATTCCAGCAATTTCACGGCGGGATACACAATAAATGGGCCTCACACATTGTACCCATGTGGGGAATCGGACCCGGGCCTTCGGGCAAACCACTAGCTATAGGCTACCCAGCCGCCCCGTTTCAGAAAAAACCCAAACTATGCTCAATCAAACATAAATGTCAATTTGTGTTTCCATTCCATTCATAATACACAATAGTAAATTCAGTTAATAGAGATGTCAAGTCTTGGGAATTAGAGGCTCCCCAATGCGAATGAGGATTGACACTTAACTGCAGGTGCGCCACTGGCTCCAGATGAGACTGTGATACACAACATCACATCAACATCAGTGTGGCTTCAGTGGCAGGCTAACTTTGATGGTGGCTCCCGAAGACGTTCAGTGTTGATTACCGTGCCTCTGGCAGCGACTGGAGGGTCTGGAAACAAAGGGATTCCGGATCCGGGACAAGGAACATGGCTAATCTCCCACATCAATAGTTTGAAACCAAACACAGAGTACATGTTCCAAATATCTGCACGGAATATACGTGGAACAAGCAGCAAAGTAGTCAGGGACGCTACGACAGCAGGCCAAGAAAGTAAGACCTGATTACTGACGTGTATTTGTCAAACATGCACAGATTACAATGTATGGTTCATAATATATTATATGTTACACTGAAATAATTAACACTATGAACAAATATACACCTAAATGATCCAAAGAGTTTATCCACATCACTAAAAGTCAAATCTGATATTTTTCAGCATGTTCTTGCTTAACACAAGTGTCCGATAGATTGGGCATTGGTGTCGGTGTTGGCCTTGGAGTAGCACTGCCAATGATCATAAGTCTTGCCATCACATCAGTAGTGTTCTACCGTCAACGTTCTGTCAAACCCAGAGGTAGGTCCTGTACACAAAATCGAAGGTTCTTACTATGTATTAAAACATATCCCAGTTAATGTTTTCATAAGTCATTGGTAAATACATTGACATTTAAGTATGTTTATGCATCATTGCAAGAATTTAGGAAATGCTGTAGAAAGTACAAAGATATTTCCATTCCCAAAATGATTTCTTATTTTACGTTTGAAGTTAATAAGCTGATGGTAATTTTCTATTTGCATTTTGAAGTTTGAGACGCTAAACACCAAACGTCAATAGCTGACCAAGGTATGCGATGCATATACAGAAACAGATTAAATCATATTGTTTGCATTGATACTAAGCAAAATGATAAAATTATAGCAATGACCTCAATACTTACGGTTTTAAACTTGTGTTATGTCTCAGACATGAGCAAGACAGAGAAAGTCATGTACATTGTTCAAATTTTGTCATGGCTATGTTGTTTCAGACATCCATCACACATACTCTGACATCGGTGACAGCAGAAGGAGCGAGTATGAAGACCTTCAGGCCAGCACCAGGTTCAGAGGTAAATGAAAAAGGGAAATTAAATTTACATGAAATATCTGATTCCATAGGACATGTCTAGGAATAACACATTTGCCATTGAGACTCACGGAATAGTTTCTGCGACTACATGTTGTTTGATGTGTTTCCGAGATCCGTTTGCACTAATTTCAGATGAACCAAAGGAATATGAGCATCTGAGGACAACAGATCCAGTCCGAAGTGATGCTTACCAAAACATCCCAACACCACATGGCTCAGTTGACGGTATAATAATTCTTACCCATACCAGATTCATTTAATTCAGATAATGTACAACACGCTCTCTTAACGTCGCTATCATTATTACACGCACGGAAAAATATCTGGTGCGGTTGGGTAGCCTTATGGTTAAAGCCCATGTTCGTCACGCTGAAGACCCGGGTACGATTCCCCACATGGGTACAATGTGTGAAGCTCATTTAATGTGAACCCCACCCCCACCCCCACCCCGTTATATTGCTCAAACGTTGCTAAATGAGGCGTAAAACTAAACTCATTCTCAAATATCTATCTGCTTCTCAGGACCCTCGCCATTGTATGAAAACCAAGCTGACATATCCAGCACATCCTTCTGATGCGTCAGGAAGAGCCTGGTAATCTCAGCTCTCAACTCAGAGGAATTTGCGATCACATATATATATATATTATCACTTATTGGCGAAAACTGAAAATGACCGAGATGTTACATTAATAAAGGCTATACAAAGTACAGTGAATAAATCGATACGTCACGCTTCTTGTTCAGTGTTATCTATGTATGTTACAGGAAATATGTATAATCAGTAAATATGTATAATTACTGAAAATTCCTGAAATTTAAGAAACAAAATTATACATATTTACTGAAATCATTTAAAGTACTGAAATATTGATATTACTTTTAAAGTCAGTCAGATTTTCATAGATGTGTCTTCTTGTGGTATATAAACTACAGCAGGATCAAAGGTTGAGTGTAGTTTAGTCACAACATAATTATACCTTTTTTATTGAAAAACATGGTCTCCACGGTATTCAAACAATAAAGGGTTTCAAGCATTTTTAGTGAGAAATACATGTTAAATTATTGAAATCATGGTCTGTAAATACATTACATTAGGATCAAAGGTTAGCAGGATAGCAGGAGGAAATGTGGCAATATGGTAAAGCAAGCAAACAATAGCAGGTGTGCTATCAGAGGTCGCAGTAACACATAACATTCAAAAATACAAAAAGTAACATTGTGCAAACCACAATGTTTGTGACATGCTTGTTCCTATATAACACTGTACACGACATGAACAACATGCATAGTGGCGTAGGGTAGCTCTCTTGGTGTATCGTTATGTCGTCACACTTTAAGCTCGTGTTCGATTCTTACATGTGGACATTTTTATAATCAACAGCTGTTTTCATCACAGCGATATTGCTGTAATATTCCTAGCGAAAGTGGCGACAAACGTACGCAGATGAGTCACACCAGGCAGGATATCTAACGAATGATGATGCCACTTACACCTACTGTCCCTGCTCCCTATCTATTACAAACATCGTCCTTAGTATGGGGTCCTTAACTGTGCTGCTGGCGTCCTCTAGCCCCATTTCATGTATAAGTGCCCAATACTCAGTTTTAATGTTCTATAACTAGTTTTAAAACCAAATATGTAATATACTGCTGGTTGTTTTTCTCTCCATCCATCACATTTTTTAAAAGTATCATATAACTTTATCAAGTCACCATATGGCTGAAATATTGCCTACGTGACTTAAAGTAAACTCACTCACTAACTCACTCTTACAAAGCTAGCACTTGTAGTGACGTGTTTAAACTGACCTATACAAGCCATGGGGATTCTGATCTTTAGCGTGCTTCGCATGTGTAACAGGACGTTCCTGCTTCAGTAGTTGTCCCTGAGTTAAACGTACAAAGAAAACCAGTATGAACAAATTCCTTCAGCATTTGTAGTTGATTAAACCTGAAATTGCCTGACGTTGTAGCGATAGACGTTGTTTTGTTGAAACGTCTGTTGAATTCCGTGTGCCAATGGGAGCAGAACGTCTAGGTCGCGTACATTAGAAAATAGACTATAAAGATGTAAAACGATTGCAGCCCATGCAAATACCCCTTTCTTGCCTAAATATCATCCATGTTCCATATATATTTATGAGACAGTGACGCATTTTTCACGAAACTTCAGATGATATTTGCTTTAACGTTTGACATACTGTCCTGGACCTTAGAAGAGCCAGATGCCACTTTATCTGGGGTCACCATATAGATAGAAGGGACCAATGCCACATGGGTCTGAGACTGGAACAATCCAAGCAAAGTTTTTGAGAACCCGTGTGGTGAAGTATCAATTCCATTTGCCTCAAATAAAAGGAATGAACACAGACCTTGGGTCCACAGAAGCATGGTTAACAATCCGGGTTTTGGAGTGACATTATTACGTCACACATTGCGAGTTATTTGATGAAACTATCAATATTATTATGTTTACATAATAAGGGTTGTTCAATTAAAATCTTATCAGCGGGTATCTTAACAGAATAGTGAAGCTGCATGAATCTATTTTACGAGCATTGGACTAACCACTCTGAAAAATAGAAATAGAGTTTACAACACAGCTTGTCAGTTTCCATTGTTGAAAATAGTTGTATCAAAACTTATTTAACGTGCGAAAAGTTTCTGCTACATCTGGTCATGGTCAAGATAGATAAGATCGAGGAAAACTGATTAAACATTTTAAAACGACGATGTTGGAAGGCAGCGTTGCACAAAACAATCTTAGCGCTAAGAAAGACTACCTCAAGTCATGTTAAGGTATGGGAGTAAGAGTCACCATAGCGCTGAGATCACTGTGTACTACAGCACCCAGATGTAGAGGATTCTACTCCTTGAAAGTGTAAACACTGACAGTTTGTAATCGTATAGGACATTTTACCGCTCATTGAATACAGTCGTCGAAATCAGAGGCTTGTTTTGATATATAAGTTGCTTTGATCCGTACTAGTGTAAAAGTGTGCCTTCAATGTGCTCCCCATAGACCGGATCCGAACATACTGAGGAGAGTTTGTCATTGACTGTGATCCGGGTACTGAAATGTACATTACGCTCCATATTGAGTTGGTACTTCGTTGTCACAAGTTTGTTTTCTCGTGGCCCTAGAATGCAACTAAGGATGATACTGATGTTACAGTATCTTGAAGATGAACTGAGCTTGCAGGTGTTAACACTCCGCATGTTTCGATGATAAGAAAGTTGCCTATAGGAATATTGTACCCAGTGACATGTCGTACTGTGACGATAGTTCCCCCTTCTCCCCTTCATGATAGCGTGAAGATTTACACTGTGGATATCAAAATGAGTGGTGTTGTCCACAGCATGGTGCTCAGAGTGGGTTCCGGAGTGTAGGGACTAAGCTGGTTTGGTTCGTAGAGTTTAATGTCGTTATCAGTCACAGATAGAGCAAACCGAGGTAGGTTACCCATACCCTCACTCTTTAGGACGTTTTGGTTTAATGTCGTTATCAGTGACAGATTGAGCACACCGAGGTAGGTTACCCATACCCTCACTCTTTAGGACGTTTTGGTTTAATGTGGTTATCAGTGACAGATTGTTCACTCCGACGTAGGTTACCCATACCCTCACTCTTTAGGACGTTTGGTTTAATGTGGTTATCAGTGACAGATTGAGCACACCGAGGTAGGTTACCCATACCCTCACTCTTTAGGACGTTTTGGTTTAATGTGGTTATCAGTGACAGATTGAGCACACCGAGGTAGGTTACCCATACCCTCACTCTTTAGGACGTTTGGTTTAATGTGGTTATCAGTGACAGATTGAGCACACCGAGGTAGGTTACCCATACCCTCACTCTTTAGGACGTTTGGTTTAATGTGGTTATCAGTGACAGATTGAGCACACCGAGGTAGGTTACCCATACCCTCTCACTCTTTAGGACGTTTTGGTTTAATGTGGTTATCAGTGACAGATTGAGCACACCGAGGTAGGTTACCCATACCCTCACTCTTTAGGACGTTTTGGTTTAATGTGGTTATCAGTGACAGATTTAGCACACCGAGGTAGGTTACCCATACCCTCACTCTTTAGGACGTTTTGGTTTGTTTGGATGATAGTAATAAGCTTCTCGGATCAGGGACGAGTTGTAGTGCTTTGTCTTAAGGTGTCAGTCTAAACTTGACAAAATGCCGCGAACAGTGTGTAGATGGTTAGTAACCGCTAACCGTAGATCAATACCACGATGTAGCCAATCACGGAGATGGACATTAATGTTTAGTACCAGTTATCTCACATGGGTTTCTCGTCTCCAATGGTGAAAGTACAATATAACTATATAAATTTATCAGCAGTAAATAAATTTCTCCGACAATCCCGGAAACAGTAACTGTAGTCCGCTTTAATGGGTGAGGCTTAATATTGTACATTTATTTGGGACATACACGCACAAACTCGCGGCCAGTTCACCGATCAGAAGCCTGGAATTACAATGAACACAACGAACATTTAATTACAAACATAACATATGTTACATTATACTAATCATTGTGTAATCATCAACATGTGTGTAACATTATGCTTAGCAGTCACACATAGTTGAAATATATCGTTTCAATGGAAATTTACAGAAACTCAGCAATATTGAGTTTATGGCGGCGATCTGTAAATAATCAAGTCTGGCGGTGACCTGTAAACAATCGAGTCTGGACCAGACATCATGAACATCGATCTACACAATTGGGATACGATGACATGTGTCAACCCAGTCAGCGAGCCTGACCACCCTATCCTATTTGTCGCCTCTTACGACAAGCATGGGTTGCTGAAGATCAATTCTAACCCAGACCTTCACGGGTTGTACAGAAAGTACAATGTACTAGAGTGAGTGAATGACTTGAGTGTAACCCTGAGTTGAACAGTGTTCGAGTTATATCACACAGTGTCATTTGAATGAAGACCGGAAGTCATTTGAATGTGTGAGTAAAACCGGAAGTTGGTGTGGGTATGATGCTGACAAACCTGGAAATATAATCGTGGAAAACCGGATTTCGAACCCACGATCATGGGATTCTGTTGATACTACGGGACTCAACTCTGTCCGGTTGCTTTACCTCCTCAGGCGACTGGGCCACTCGTGAACCTTACATTTACCAGAAAAACGAAAAAAGCCCCAAACAATCCCCCTCCGCAGCCCCTACCCCAAACAAACCTCACTATAAGATGGTTTAATAATTTCACGTGTGGCAACAGTTTACTCGGCAAAATTCCAGCTATATTGCGGCGTTCTGTTAGTAATCGAGTCTGGACCAGTGAGCCTGACCACCAGTTAATCGCCCCTTATGACAAACATAGGATGGTGAAGATTAATTCTAAACCAGATCTTCACGGGTTCATTTCTTTTCTGTATGTTGACCACATACCAACTCGACAACACCTGTCAGTAGCATGTCTGTTATAACAGAATGTGTGTCAAATCGTGTTGTTTATGCATTTGTAAACGCTACTTTAGAACTATAAATGTAATTTCGGCTGTCCGGGAGGTCATCAGGTCCTGAAAAATGAAGTATGTAGCCTGTATACTGCATGTACCTTTTATCTACATGTCATGACATAAGCATGAAGATAAGTATTAAATGCAGCTGCTGTACATGGAATCACAAAGTCGTGACTCTTGTGTTGTTATCTTTGATAGTAAAAGTATAAAAGAAGATCAACCTTATGACCA